TCATCGGAAGCCCGCCCCTCAGGGGGCGGGCTTGCGATGATCGAGAGTGCGATCTGCCTGTCCAAGATAGGCAGATCGTATGTTTTTTTTAATCCCTGTACAACCATCGCAAGACTAAAGTCTTGCGATGGTTGTAGAGTGTATGGCAACCTGAAGACTGATTTTAATCAACCTGCATGTAATCACTGGGTCAGCGCTAACCTGGTGATTACATGATCAGAACCCATTCGGATTGTTTTCCAACTGTCATTGAGGACCAGCAGCTGTTAAACATGTGTGCTGCTGGCTCTTAAAGAGAAGGATGTTTTATCCCTAGCTTAGGGCATTGTGCTGGAAATGTTAACAACGTTTACTGTGGGCAGGAAGTTGTTCAATTTATATAGTTTAAACTTTTGTTTAGCTTTTTACTTGTGTTTCAATGTCTGCTTGTATTTATTAGGTACTTTTCAAGGTATAAATATGCTGTCTTGACCAACACTAGAACAAGACTTTTTTTTTTTGATGGCTAGAGAGTTTGATTAGCATCATGTTTAGAGCACTTGTCCACAGGAAACTGTAAGTCCAAACGCACTGTATTTTTAATGGTAGGTCATAGTTCCACACTACTTTATAAAACATAAAAAGATATTTAAACACTTGTGGTATGTGCAGGCATCCTATACATAGTAACATGATAGGTGAGGTTGAACAAAGACAAAGGTCCATCCTGTACTCATTTAGACGTTTCTTGAATTTATCAATGCTATCAGTGGAAACTTCTGCCTGTGGAACGGAATTACACATTTTTATTATGCGCACAGTCGCAGTCTGGGATTGAACCCTCTCTCTTCTAACCGATTGTGTCCTTGTGTTCTCAATACAGTTCTCGGTGTAAACAACTTGTCCCGAATATTGTGGTCCCCATTGATGATTTTGAAGACCGCAATAAGGTCCCCTCTTAATCACCTCTTTTCTAAGGTGAATACGTTTAATTGCTGAAGGTGATCTTCATAACCCAGGCCTTATATCCCTTTCATTAATTTTGTAGCTTTTATCTGAACTCTCTTAAGCTCGAGGATGTCTTTCCTGAGGGTTTGGCGACCAAAATTGCACCGCATACTCAAGTTGAGGCCGAACCAGTGATTTATTAAGTGGAAGTATTACTCTTTTATCCGTTGCGACAATCCCTCTTTTAATACAGGACAGTATCCTGTTTGCTGGCCACTGCTTGGCATTGCATACTATTGCCAAATCTGTGATCTATGAGCAACCCCAGGTCTTTTTCCATGTTAGACTTTCATAATGTAGCATCCCCCAAGAGGGTCAATTTTATCTAGGTCTTGTTGAAGTGAATAAATCTCCTGTTTTGGAATTTACTGCCCTACACAGTTTAGTTTCATCCGCAAAAACTGAAATCAAACTGTTTATTGTTCAAACTGTTCATTGTTTCGTTAATGAATAAAATAAACCAGATCGGTCCCAGGACTGAACCCTGGGGCACCCCACTCGGAAACCTTTGCCCAATTAGAAAATGACCCATTTATTACTACCCTTCTGGATCCGTTCTTGCAGCCAGTTTTCCACCCATGTGCATACAATTTCATCCAAACCATTAGACCTTAGTTTTTGAATTAAACATTTGTGGGGTACTGTACCGAATGCTTTAGCAAAGTCCAGATACATCTTGTCTACTGGTATTCCTCTGTCTAAATTAATACTGACTTCCTCATAAAATGTTAGATTGGACTGACATGAACGGTCCTTCATAAAGCCATATTGTTTACTACTTATGATACCAATTTTATTTGCAAATTCCTGCATGTAGGTCTTTATTATTCCTTTGAATATTTTGCACAATGTTGATGTTAAGCTTACTGGCCTATAGTCACCCGGTGTACCTCGTTTCCCATTTTTGTATATTGGTATCACATTCCCTTTTCACCGATCAGCCGGTACCATACCTGTCAGAGTGTCAATAAAGATTATGTACAGTGGTCTGGCTATGTCCTGGCTTAGTTCCTTGAATACCCTCGAATGTAACCCATCAGGTCCTGGGGATTTGTTTACATTTATTCTTTCTAGCCTCTGTACTACTCTGCTTTCTGACAGCCACTGAGATGCATTAAAACGTTTTTGTTATTTCTGCAGCTGATGCCCTGGTCCCTATCCACATAGAAAAGAATATGTTTAACACATTCATTTTCTCCCTGTCACTGATAGCTAACCTCCCCTGTTCATCCATTATGGGCCTAGATTTTTCATCCCTTCATTGTTTTTGTTTTTTGAATGATTGGTCATTTGTAGTGACCAATATTCCATCCCTGCAGATCTGTATAAAACTTTCACCTTTTCAGATATTCAAGTAATGATTCAAGAGACCAATTTTTTATTTATTACTGCTTTTCCTGTTTTCAATTGTTTTAAGATTCTTTTCCTTTGTTTGGAAGGCATTTGCTTCCACCCACAAACAACTCTTGATAATCCTGCAGCCGTGAACATAGAAGTTTCGTTTTTTTATTTTTTTTCTTATTTTCCTACTCAGACTAAAAGGAATACAAGCCATGGAATTTCATTATAGAAACCTTCCTTGGGGAGGAGAAGAGAGCGAAAACATTCTGTGTTTTTTAGTTATCCAGTTATCCAGCTGTGTGCAGTCAGCAGCTGTGTAGCCATAGCAGATAATGACCTGACGGGAGGATTGTGCGGTGGCTTCACCCTCCAGGTAGAATTGAAGCCTGAATATACTTGAAGACATCCATATGATTTTCAGATTTAACAGCTATGGCTAAAGCATGCCTTAAATCTTTGCTCACACCACATAGAGAACCCTTTGTTCAAATAAGTTTTCCTTTGTGTCACAAAAGGGAGAACCAAGGTTAATGGAGTCATCCTACCCTGAAGAGGCAGGACACAACAGGAATGAGAGGACCTTTTCTCTCTTATAATCTTTCTTGGAGTCTCTTCTTTCTTATCTTTAGCAACCTGCTTCAGTTGTTCTTTCTCTTCTTGCACTGATTATCTTATACTGGCCATACACTGTTCTATTTTTTTCCTTCAACCCGCGGGCTGAATTAAAAAAATAGAGCATATTCCCTTGCATTAAGGTAAAAAATGCCCCAGTAGCTTTCCTTGTCCCCCACCAACAGTGAGTCCAAGATGGTCTGTGCCATATCCCTGAACTTCCATGTTATAGGGGTTTGTAGAAGAAGGTACTGAGGGCACTCAAGATAGGGGAGCAATAGGTTGCTGCTGCTGCCTGTCACAGTGCTTGAAGGAGGCTGGGGTGGGGCGTGGCTTGATGAGCGCTGTATGCTTTAATGGATACATACAACTCAACTCACGAGTGGGAGCGTATGAGACTAGGCAAATATAAATGAAATGGGGCAGTTTTAAAAAATAAAGTAAATTTAGTAAGCAAGTGTGTACCTCCTGTAAAGGTTTTAGTCACTTTAAACCTGCAGTCTGACAAGAGATGCCCCTTAAAACTATATTCTATGTCACTAAAAAAAAAAAGTAGCTGAGCTTTAATCCTTAATGTTTCTAGCCTCCAACGCAAAATCTTTTTTAAACGGATGTGTATTAAAATGTCAGTTAACCAGTTGTATATCATGTTGCAGCCCTAAATATCCAAACCTTCTCAGTCTTTTCTACAGTATTCCCTCAGCAATTTCATCCTCAGCTGAAGATGAACTTTTCATTCCAAACCTTTATTTCCCTGCTCTTCATTTGCCATGTAACTGTCTTGTGAAAGATGCATTTGCTTCTTTGTTAAGCTGTGTAAATGCTCATCAAACCATTTTATTACTTTTTGGTGCTGTAATACTCCCATAGAGAAGACACCATGCTGGAGGATGACTAATTTCACTTCCTCACAAATCAACTTTAAGATTACATAAATATTTGGCCATAATTCCATCAATTAGTTTTATTGGCCACGGTTGAAGTGGTAGATCACATTTTCTTTAGTTTGTGCTCAGTAAATTGTTTTCAAAAGTGCAAATAAATAACATTTAACTCTGTTATGGCTTGATTTTTTTGTGTTTTTTTTTTTTTTTTCCTTTTGGCAGATTTTTTTAAATGGCTTTTGGACTACTGCCTGAAAGCCAGAGTCATTGTAAAAGGTGTAGACAATTTTCAAAATGGCTTTTGGACTACTGCCTGAAAGCCAGAGTCATTGTAAAAGGTGTAGACATCCGCTTGTGACAGGGGAGGAAGAGCATAAGTGCTCCTTAGATGATTGTCAGCTGTGTCTCATTTTAGAAATCCTAGAGTAGCCTTGCAAAAAGACTTCATACTGTTAGATAACATATGTTTACAGTATACTGCAAGTTAATTTAAGACTTGTTTTTGTTTTTAGACAGTGATGCCTTTTCAGAAACCACTTTATGCAACTATGTCCATAAACAGTCTAGCGGAATATGCAGATGCTTAGAGCATCTCTTCAGTTTTATCTCCATGTTCATATTGGTCCTTCAGACCAACTAAGCGTTGAAGCAAGCTTCATTGTTTTATTTTATTTAGCTGACTGTGTAAGGTCATACATGCCCCATTTGAACACTTTTGATGGTCAGTCATGTAAGACTTTTCATATAAAACTATTTTCCTAAGGGCCACAGAATGACAATTTGGGTATATAGGGTTATGCTGCTGCCTTTAGGAGATAGGACTCTGGCAAAACAGCACTTCCACTCACATCATGCTCCAGTTGTTTATTGTTAATTTCCTAGAAGAATGGACATCATCTCTTCTCTGAGAGTGGCAAGCCTCTTCTTTTCTGCTTTTTATCAAGCCCCATCACCTGCCATTCAACTCTCAAATGCTAAAACTTCAAAACTTTTAAGTATGCCTTTAATCTTTTTTTTTAACCCAGTATTTATTGGGTTTTCAAAGATGAAACAATCAGCAGTTTACATAGTATTCACCAGCTACAATAGGCCACATAGGCAATATAATGAATTCCATAAATGTCAATCTTCTTATGCTTCTTCATGCTTATTTTGATTTTTGATTTTTTTTTGTAGGTGATACAAAACTTCATACAGAACGAGGAAATATTACAGTAGGTATGCATTTGACTCATTTTACTGTCGGGTAAAAATGATTTTAGTAGATTAATTGTGTACTACACATACATGGGGTGTTCTGTGTTGGCTTGCAATAGATAGATGTGTTCATGGCTTCTGAGAAATGTATACCACCTATTTATTGAATAAAGTCATTGGTAGAATTTTCAACACTTTTGAGTGTGCCAGATTCCTGGTTCCACCTCTCCAGTTTGCCCACCACTTCTGGCACATATTTTGGTGGAATATGTTTGGCATAGATTTTATAGTGGAATACAATGAGCAGTGTCCTCTATCCATTTCCCTGCCAGCATACGGCAGAACAAAAATGTTCTCAGCTGGCCAGTTCAGTATGCCTTGCATCAACCTTCTGAAGCGACCATGAGCTTATCACAGAAGGGTCCCACTTCAGGATACCGAGCTTAGAAATGGCATATGAGAAATATTTGCTGATCCTTCCCTGTACTGAACACTGATCACTCCGCTGTTTATTCATAACTGAGGAGATAGTAAGGTCTCGTTCACACCTAGGCGTATTGCATATGCGCGTCTGTCGCGCGTTTTTTTTAACCGCGATTCGCGCGTTTCTGAAGGCTACTTGGCTGTATCCCAATGGAAACGCGTTAGGGACGGGCGGAAATACGCCAAGGTGGGAACGAGACCATTGAATACAATGGGATTTATATTTTTGAGCGTTTTGTAGAGCGTTCGTCGAGCGTAGAACGCGCTACAAAAACGTTCAGGTGTGAACGAGGGCTAAGTGTTTATTATGTCCCCAGTTATGATTGAAAAGGAAGTGCTACACATAGCTTCCGGTTCATTCGTGACTGGTAAAATAGTAAACACTTTCTCACCCAGTTTATGAATGCACGGACAACTTCCTGTCCATTTATAACTGAATGTTTACTATTGCCTCAGTCTGTAAATGAACAGGAAGTCTCTGTACGGAGTGCTTCCTGTTCACTTAGTGCTGGGGCTGCAGAAAATGAGTTTGAGGACTCTATTTCAAAAGAGAAATGTTAGGGGTCTGTTTTAGATCCCTGATATTTCTCCAAAGCTCCCTGATAGTAATGTAAAAATAATTAGTTGGATTATTAAAAGTTAAAAATGTTATACATTTTTTTTTTTAAAGTGCCCCCAGCACCCACATATATTACAGGTGCAACAGTGTGTACCATAATGTGGTGTACGTTATGCACATGCGCTGTGGAATGTTAGACCACATTGCAGTGCTTGATTTTTATTTATTTTTTGCTTTTTGAAGTGACATTAATTTAACTGTGTGGCAGTCCATGGCAAAGCATTGCCGTGCGTTGTAATACGCTGCTTTGCTATTAAAGGTTTGCATGGGTCATTTTATTGCAACACACACCAACAAAGTGCACAAATGGCACTGCAGATCAGGCATTACCCCAACACCTAGGCCACCTCCAGATTTTTAGCATTTATAGTTTTTTTTACCGTTTTGCAAAGAGGGGCAATTTCAAAATGTATAAATATTTGTTATTTATTAACTCAGTGCAGTTTTATCTGTAAATCTTTCTTGTGTGTGCTGATGATGATTTTAGTGCATCTTTATCAAATCAATATCTTCAATAAACATTTGTGCGCAAAATTAGCAGCACCACCTTTTTATTCTACCAGTATGAAGCGACCATGAGCTTATCACAGAAGGGTCCCACTTCAGGATACCGAGCTTAGAAATGGCATATGAGAAATATTTGCTGATCCTTCCCTGTACTGAACACTGATCACTCCGCTGTTTATTCATAACTGAGGAGATAGTAAGGTCTCGTTCACACCTAGGCGTATTGCATATGCGCGTCTGTCGCGCGTTTTTTTTAACCGCGATTCGCGCGTTTCTGAAGGCTACTTGGCTGTATCCCAATGGAAACGCGTTAGGGACGGGCGGAAATACGCCAAGGTGGGAACGAGACCATTGAATACAATGGGATTTATATTTTTGAGCGTTTTGTAGAGCGTTCGTCGAGCGTAGAACGCGCTACAAAAACGTTCAGGTGTGAACGAGGGCTAAGTGTTTATTATGTCCCCAGTTATGATTGAAAAGGAAGTGCTACACATAGCTTCCGGTTCATTCGTGACTGGTAAAATAGTAAACACTTTCTCACCCAGTTTATGAATGCACGGACAACTTCCTGTCCATTTATAACTGAATGTTTACTATTGCCTCAGTCTGTAAATGAACAGGAAGTCTCTGTACGGAGTGCTTCCTGTTCACTTAGTGCTGGGGCTGCAGAAAATGAGTTTGAGGACTCTATTTCAAAAGAGAAATGTTAGGGGTCTGTTTTAGATCCCTGATATTTCTCCAAAGCTCCCTGATAGTAATGTAAAAATAATTAGTTGGATTATTAAAAGTTAAAAATGTTATACATTTTTTTTTTTAAAGTGCCCCCAGCACCCACATATATTACAGGTGCAACAGTGTGTACCATAATGTGGTGTACGTTATGCACATGCGCTGTGGAATGTTAGACCACATTGCAGTGCTTGATTTTTATTTATTTTTTGCTTTTTGAAGTGACATTAATTTAACTGTGTGGCAGTCCATGGCAAAGCATTGCCGTGCGTTGTAATACGCTGCTTTGCTATTAAAGGTTTGCATGGGTCATTTTATTGCAACACACACCAACAAAGTGCACAAATGGCACTGCAGATCAGGCATTACCCCAACACCTAGGCCACCTCCAGATTTTTAGCATTTATAGTTTTTTTTACCGTTTTGCAAAGAGGGGCAATTTCAAAATGTATAAATATTTGTTATTTATTAACTCAGTGCAGTTTTATCTGTAAATCTTTCTTGTGTGTGCTGATGATGATTTTAGTGCATCTTTATCAAATCAATATCTTCAATAAACATTTGTGCGCAAAATTAGCAGCACCACCTTTTTATTCTACCAGTCCTGTGCTTTCAGGAAATGTATGGTTTGGGGGCCTTTTGCAAATTCTATAAAATCTGCAATTAAAAATAAAAAGGTGAAAAATTGCAAGGATTGTCTGGCCAGCTGAGGTCAAACGTGGGAGGGAAAGAGTTGACGGATATTTGTTAACATGAACAAAGTGCAGAATTTGCTGAAAAAATTACCTATTGTATGTTTCAGATTCCTCAGACGGATGTTTGATGGCTTCTACAACGGATGGAACAATAGATGTATATATCAGTCAAGCTGGCAAGGTGCATCTTAAATCTGACAATGGTGAGTATAATTTTAAATGCATTCCTACTTAGTCACTACTGTGAGCCTGTTTATTGATTTTTTTTAAATTAGCTCAGGAGAAGGAAAGGACAAGCATGATTTTTACGGCGAAAGTAAAAAAAAAAAGTTTATATATAACTTTATCTACCCATATCTCTAAATCTACAGATTGTTTTGACTTTGACACAAATCTGTCATCTTTCCCTACCGCTGCTGGTCTTATCTTTGAGTAGAACCGCTATCCCTACTCGTTGGACCGGATGAGTGGGGTTAGCCTCGACTGTGACCTTCGGGCACTGGGCTTTGCATGGTAGCAATTTCCAGACATTTGTGTACTGTGATGCCCGTGTTCTAGGTCCCGAGCCATGACCCAGCCCCAGGTGTAAGTCCGTCCCTGAGGATTTGTTTGTACATAAAGGTGGTCTGCCTCGCTTAACAAAAAAAAAATCTATGTGTGTATGGCCAGCTTAAGGCTGATCATGCTAATGCACCTGGAGCTACCTTACCATTTGCTTTGCTCTACACCTTTTTGAAATTTCCACCGCCATGTGTTTTTACTGCGGTATTGGTTAGGCTAAGGCATCAAGTGCTGACATCGTCTGCTTGGTAGAGTGGTGCACTTGCACTCCGTGCTCTTTTCTGCCATTCATCCCACTGCTGCTCCTAAGCCACCATATGGTTGTCAGTTCTGGTTCCACTGCCTTACTACAGTGACTTGGTCACCACCATCTACCTAAAACCCTTATTGGCACCAACTGCCCCGGTGTCTGAGTACTTGAGGCCTTGCCTCTCTTTAAGCCTAGGCAAATGCAACATCTGCCTGGGCCACGGATGACCTCAGCCCATACTCGCCTAGTGGTTCTGGGGACATTGACCCAGTATCCCCAGAAGGAACTGACACCTATATAATCCCGAACCTGGGACTCATATTGTTGTTAAGTGCTCATTATTGGAGTTGTCCTCAGCTTTGTTGGGTGAGGCCAAGGTCTCCCCATGTCCACGAGGACCTCCATGTTTACTCTGGACTTCCAAGATGTTCATGCTCAGCTTCTGGAGCACTCTGCTGTAAGCAAGCTCTGGTGTCATCCCTTGCAGTGTCTGGCTCTAACCCCCTTGAAAAAAGTCTCTTTAGAAATCTACTGTTGGGACTGAATCTGATAGTAACTGGGGTCCCAGGCCCGGTTTGGTTCATAGTCTCAGTGGGTAAACATTATTTACTATATTGCCAATAACAAAATTGCAGTAAAAATAGACCAAGAGAGGCACATTACATTTATTTATTACGGACCAATGAGAACCTACCAATTCTAATAAAAAAACTGAAAGACAACTATGATCTAGTATAATATATGATCTCCTATCGGGGGCCTTTTGGTATGTGACTTCTAATGTTTACTACAAAAATGAGCTGTTGCAGCCTGGACTACATCCATGATATTGGATAGCTGGTGGCTTTTTATTGAAAATAAAGTTTATAAAAATGAAAACGTACAGCTGTAGAGGCATACAGTATATCCTAGAACATTTGGTTTGGAATGTGCAAAGTTACATGTTCATAATACAGGAGACTGTGTTCATTCTCATGGGAAACCACATACAGTATCTTCTGCTTATGGTGGCAATATGTAAAGCAGAAGAAAAAGTACACGTGCTTCCCTGGCTGGATTTTATAGATGTGTTGCAGGAAGTGTAAAAGGATAACTCTTTGCTTATGTTTGTCATAAGAAAGCCAATGTCATTTATCTGATCTAGTCATGTCTATCTTGTTCTTTAATTTTTATTTCTATTGCCATTTGCAGGCAGTATTAAGGTCAAAATAAATGCCAACCTTGAGGCGTACTTGCAGCTGGCAGGAGCTAGAGTGAATGTTAGCCCTGAAGTTAAATTACAGGAAATCGAGAACACTTCCACTGAGGGCCAAACCATTTTAAAAGGTACATTTTCTACACACATTACTTCCCTGTGATTGCATAACCTTGATTATAATTGGAACGAATTTCAGTTTGTTTTTTCTGTTTGATTTTGGCATATGGGCTTCTTCCTTGAAGACCATGTTCATTTGTTTGAGTTTTATGGGGAACTAAATTGGATCACACACAATGTGAATGCCAAGATAATTCAGAAGTAGCTTCAAGTGTATATAAACCCAAGAACAAACATTGAATTTATTGCATATTATCATATTTTGCATATTTATATGTTTTCACCTGGTGATTGTGCCAGTAACATGTTCTGTCCTTGAGTGTCCTTTGCTCAGTGTTCTATATCAATGGAGGAGAACTGATGTCACCCTATGACAGGAAGTGTGTTCCAACTACAAGACACCTCCCCTCTCTCCTTTCTACTGCAAAACATTTTGCCTATTCCTCATCTTCACAACATAGAAGGTCTATTCTGTACTCCACAGTGGTAAACTGGGCAGGACTGGTAACACTGAATGAGATAACATTGCAGAGTTCACAGGACAGTAATGGATTTCTGTCAGGATTAACAGACTTTTTTTTGTTTGTTTTACTCTTATCGAGCAGTTACAACAAAATGCTTCCAATGGTATATTTAAAGTGACACTAAAATCAGGAGTTAAATCTTAAAAATGCATTAGATACCTTAACTATTAACAATATTGTACATTATTTGTGTATCACTCGGCTGTAAATCCACAAATCATCTCTGAATTCATGCCGACACTGTTCTTCCTTCTGGAGGGTGGCCAGTTTTGTTCCCCATGGTCCCTGTGTGTGTTGTAAAGTTGCCGCCGCTCCAAGGATGAACTACAATCTCACGTTTAGTTTACTAATTTGTATTGAGATTGTAGTCCATCACAGGAGCCAGCTTGGAGCGGTGACTACTTTACAGAACACGGAACAAAACTAGCCGCCCTCCAGAAGGATGAACAGTATCCGCACCAATTCAGAGATGATTTGAGGATCCACAGCTGAGTGATGTACAAATAAGATACATCATTATTAATAGTTAGGGTACTAGAATGCATTTTTAAGATTTAACTCCTGAGTTTAGTGTCACTTTAACAGACAAAAAGGCTGTATATAAAAGAACTTCATTGTTCGAGGTTTACATACACTGTTAACCCCATCACCAACTCGAATGTGACTTGAAACAATTTTGGAGCGCCTGAAAGATTTGCATCATTTGCCTGCTTTTGAGTCTAATATCTGAGCATAGTGCCTGTGCTTAAATTTGGTAACCATCTAGTGTAATAGGGGTACATATATGACTGCTTCTGACTACCAATCTGTTTGCATGATTGATGCACGTTCCAAACCTTTAGCTCTGTCAAAGACTATTGAAAGTAAAGTGTATGCATCTTAAAAGGTTTTTCAGGTTAATCTTTGTTTGCATTCAGAGTGTATTCAGTTCCTACCCACACTTTCAACCTGGTTATTATGACTCAAACCTGAATGTTGCTTTCAATGTTTAGGCAACTAAAAACATTGCACTGGCTTGTTGAATTGAAATGCTTTCCCTGGCAAGCCTTCTAATTGCAGAGCATTAGAAATCCAAATGGAAGACCCTTCGCAGAGAGTAAAGCAGTCACTTGACATTGTTTGATGACACTCAATATAACATGCATAATCAAGTAATCCATTCTTTCGCTGTGGTTTATTTTCAGCAACAATTAATTTAATGAATGAAACACAGAGATGGATAGTAGCGGAAGCCAGGAGAGGCACAGTGTACTTGACGCTCCAGGACTGGCTGCAGTCACTAAAACTCCGCACAACCTGAGATTTCTACAAAACATTGGACCTTACCGGAGCCTGACTGGGTCTATCAGCTGACATAACTACTAAGTAATATGTAATATGCTGAACAAGCATTTTTAAATTGGTGTTTCCTCTCTCCATTGTATATTCTGTAGGAAAGGTGGGTATTGTTGGTACTTGTATCACTTAATATAAGAGAAAAATGCCAAATGCAGGGAACACATACAGTAACCAGAACACAGAGTTGTTGCAGCTGTGTTTTATGTATGGATGAGGAATTGTCATGTGTACTTGTCTGTGAATAAGTACATGTGATTTTAGATTAAACTGGAGTGTGTGTTTGAAGGCACTGTTAGCTGGAATTCTACCAAGTACTCGTACAATCATAATGCAGCTTTAACAAGACATTGTCTGCTGCGCTGTGCCTTGCAACACCTACATGGTCATGTCTTGTCTTCCTTGTGCAGCTCAGGGGGGTATTCTATCAGCATTATCCTAGGAAAGCCTACATTCTATGGTAATCCTGGAGACCAAAGTGTTATGGGGGGTCAGTAGCTTCCAGAAAGAAAAGCCATTGGCATACATCCAAACTGAAGAGACGAACAATGCTGTGGTTTTATGTAGTGTCTGTTCACATGTATAGGTCACAGATTGTGAAAATGGATTATACCCGTGCCTTGCCTAATGTTAATGAATACCACTTGGACTTTGTAATGTTAGCAAAATAAATTCTGTGCAATGTCAGTTCTTGAGAGCCTCGTACCAGCCAGGATTTTGAAATGGGCACAATATTTTGTCTAATGATTTAAAAGTGAGATGGTTGCTGTCTGTCAGTACCGACTTGTAAAAGTATGTAAGGATTGTGGACAGCACTGGGCTAGCTAATATAAAATGAGCATTTCCAATGTTGACATTACAAATCTCCACGTTCTATCCTGTGGGATACCTGTATTTGTTTTATAAGCATTTTTCTAATTATTTTACACTGTCCCTCTTTTATTAGAATGTGCAGACTGTGTCAGAGTAACGGTTAACCTTTCCCTAACCAAGTTTCTTCCAGCTTATGCCCATGTAAGAAATAAGCATTGTATTAGAAAAGACTGCACTTTACAATAAAAACTGAATTAGCTGTACTGTGTTCTGTGCCTTATTTCCATTCGTTATATCAAATAAAAGATTTAAAGAGTTGATATGCGTTTTGTTGAAAAGCTGATCCAAGTGGTGATGGATATGGGGGGGGGTACATAAAGGCAACTTGATCGGGGTAATTAAGAAATGTAGACCGCACACTGTTTACTTGCCTGGCTTCATTAAACTTTATTGTCCACCCTGCTGAACACAGGCTGCAAGGTGGGAACATTTCATAGCCTAGCGGACATGTCTCATTGGTTTGTTGATTTAACGTTACAACATCTCATTATACAGAATTATATGAATCATTCGATAACATCTTTCACTGCTACACACAATATTAAATATCTGTACCCCTGTCTCTAGAAACATATGTCTTTTATCATTACCCCTATAAAACTTAAAAACAGATAATATACAAGATGAGGAGGAAGGAAAATTGTGTGAAGTTTCGCTGTATCTATATGTAATGTGATGGTAGGGAAAGGTTTTATGGTAGCTGAAATTACCTTTCTTTACGCTAAGATTGTCTTTAATGGACATTGCCTTGTGTTTACGAGACTGACCATCAAAAAGCCCAGTGTTTTTTTTTTCACTGTATTATTATTACTTAGCATAGTGCAAACTATCTAGTACGTAACTGGATTATTAGACATGTATAGCAAAGCAATCCTGTATGCAAACCCACATGAGGTAACCGGTTTTGTTACAGTACCCGGTCATTTTCTTCTTTCTCTGTGTGAGGTCTATGGCACTTAATTTCCCTTTTAAATATAGGCCTTTATCAGACCAACATCACAGGATTTAAACTTTTCTAGATAATACATTTGGATAAACCCAGTTATAGCAGAAAAAAAATGGATTAAATGATATTGGCCTTGCCTACATAGTTAACATGGATGGATATATTTCATGAAACAATTCCAACCAATATTTAATTGTTTGAATTAACATTTGTAATATCTGTTCTAAAAATATTCCTTGTTTTACCTGTAATCCAAAGAAATATCCCAGTTGTGGTTTTCCCCGTATACAACCTGTTTTGTTTAACCAACCTAATGGGTATATAACTGTGTTCTAATTCTTTGGCTTCTCAAAAGGATTCCATATTTCATACACAATGATTCCTTGTGTTTGATAAATGGTTTGCCACTTAAATTGCTGTATAATGTCACTTTTTCCTCCACCTCCTGATGTTGTGTTAAAGTGCTCCAAAGACACCGAAGATGAAGTGGACAGACAGAATATTAGGTGTGCTTTCTTCCGAACGGTATGGGAGTTCCATTCAGAAACAATTATAGTTCAGTTGATATAAATATACCCTGATATTCTTTTTACACCATCAAAAAAATGCTATAATTCCACGGAAGATGATTTATACATCCATTGCTTCATCAATCGCATCCATTTCCTCCAAATGTGACATGCCATTGAACAGGTTACCATGACGATCATAGCCAAACCGAGGCGGAGGATCATCTGTATTATACTCCAAATGTTGATACTTTGATTCAATCTTCAAAACAGCAGCCCTGTGAGACAGTAATATTTACATGTATGTGGCATTTCTTTTTTTTTTTTTTTCTTTCAAGAAGATTTTTATTTTGTTATACAATACACTGCAAGATACGAGTACAAGAGGTGCATACATTTATGCGTGTTGACATGACTAATGTACGGAAGCCCCAGTTTCAACGACAGTATTTCCCAGGGGGGCACTATACAGTGATTGTGTGTTTTAACAGTTGCCTATAAACATTTAAGAAGTAATAAACTAGAACAATCAATGAACATCGCATGTGGTGAATTTATCAGGTGAAAGTGTTGGCGACTGTAAGGGGCCGTGCACTACCCGTACACCGCCCACGCCATGCCTTGGGGAAAGAAAAGGATCAGGAAGTGAGGGAAAAGGGAGGATAGGGTTCAGCGTTACTACGTAGGGGGGTAAGGGAGATGTGGGAGGGATTCAATTCTGCTGAGAGGGCATGTGGGAGGGTATCCTCACCCTGGAGTATGAGTGTCAGTAACCTAGCGTCAAACGATTTAGCCTGTAGATGCTGAATCCAGGGGTCCCAGATCAATTCGAAACGAGGGACTTTATCGTTCAGCCGCGCCGTGATTCGTTCATTGGCAAAGAACCAGTGAGTGACATTTCTTTTTATTCTCCTTAATAAATATAAGCTGGTACTTAACCAGCTGCAAAAACATTTTTACCCTTTCAATTTTCTAAAATATTGAAACTGTTTATTTCCAATGTGATCACAGCAAAATTTCACAGCCATAAAGAAGGAAAAGGCAGTGCATTACTTCCTACTTTTGAGGTTTAATGGTGAGTAGCAATAAAGCCAGCTGTTTTGGGGGTTTTTGCCAGATGTGCTAGATATAGTTAGTAGTACCTAGTTAGTAGTACCAAGATCTAAAGGAGGCACTTTTATAGCTTACTTTCTTTGCATTTACCTTTATGCATGCATACTTTCCTGGAGAACAAAGTACTGGTAGGGAGACTTTAGGAAAATCTGCTCCCTGCCTGTGCAGTTTCCCTCATTACACTTTCCATGATGAGGGTGAAAGAGCATTGTCCATGGGTTAGTGTTTGGGATCCCAAAGGCCATGTACGGTCCTAACCCAGTGGGCAGGGCATTTACTTAAAGCCTGCCATACAAACATGGCATTTAGCCAGAAGTATGTCCTCCTTTTGGTGAGGATTATTTGCACACACAGGAAAGTACACTTTTAGCATTGTGACAGCTTACAGCTAAGACTTTGGGTTCTATTTTAAAATGTTCGCAGAGTGAATGTCCCTGCAAATGGGATTCACTACACATTATGGTCACTAAATGGACGTGAGAGTATAGGAATTATGCTCCTCAGCTTCATCTAGTGGCCATAATGCGCTGCAAATCTCATTAGCAGAGATGTTTGCTCTGTGGCAATTTTATAAATGGATCCCTAAGTCTTAAGGTGCCCATACAGCTGACGAATATCGTATGATAATCGCGGGTGATCCAGCGATCGTACCATAATCAGCAGGTGTATGGGCATCGTGCGACTGCATTATCTGTACGGTCGCACGACTTTCGTCTTACGAGCGCGCTTGAAAACTATTTTCGGCGGGTTGGTAGCGCACACTGCCCGCTCAGCATTGCAAACATCGGTGGGGAGGGCTTGCGATGATCGGAAGTACAATCTGCCTGTCCAAGATGGGCAGGTCGTACAAAATTTTAATCACCTAAAGCTGCCCATACACCTTACAACCATCACACGACTTTCGTTGTGCGATGGTTGTAAAAATATTCGTACGGCCTGCCCATCTTTCTCCTCAACTGTACGTGGGCCTGCCTGGAAGGAAGGTGCAGGGCTAGCCTGTAATGTGGTTAGGGCACTTGATCCTGCATGAGGCACTTATCTTGGCATTTCGTCCAGAGCGTGTATATACAACACAGTATTTTACAGGTCCAGGGCAGTAGTCCATTATGGTGGAGCCCTGTCCCAGAAGACCTCCTTTGAGGGGTCCCTTCACAAGTCAATAGGGCCTTCTCTTGATTTACCTGTAAAATCCATTTCTTGGAATGCATCATAGGACCCTCCCCTCTTTCTGTGATCCACTGTTGTACTGTTTGGTTCAAAACAGAGGCAGGCTGGGAGAGTGTGTGTATGTGGGTGGATGTGTGTGTGTGTGGGTGGGTGTGTGTGTGGTGGTGGGTGGGTAAATAAACAGGGCTGCCTTCACAGCTTTGATTTGTCAGTGTCCATTCACCTGAAGGTAACTGTATGACCCATTGGCCCCTTGTGTAATGCGATGTAATCCAAGTATTGGATTATACAGGTAAAACAAAAACCCTGTACATTTATTCAGCAATAATCTTTCAGTGACTGCAGTCAACTATAATCTAATTGATGGATACAGACTACTGCAGTTTGCATTTGGATGAGTCAAGACAGGTCAAAAATTTGACCCAGTCAAATCTGCTTATTTGTTTACATAGTTTGTGTGTACATACACGTTTTAAAAAAGTAGACAGAAAATCTTACTTTGTAATACTCTTGCAGTAAAGCATTCTGAGAGTGCGAAGTTGTCGGCAGCATTTCTGGAAATATTTCAGGGCCTTATCACTGAGATGGACACAGCCAGAGATATCCACAATGTGAAGGTAACGGCAACCACCAGCAAGATACTGGATGCTAATATCTGTTATCTGCATGAAAGAAGAATCAATCAGTGCCATACTCTACAGATCAGTGTACAATACTCCCTGACTCCTGGGGCTAAAAGAATGAATTCAGCAAATCCAGTTAACATTCATTTCATGATGTGACTTTAAAATGACTACAGTCTGTCTGACGCTATAGTGCCTGTTTTCTTAGCTGGGTCCCCATACTGACAAAGGAACCATAGCAGAAAATCTATGCAAAAGCACCAAATTAAAACATTTTAAAAAAACCTCCAAATTTCTTTGTCTTAGAAGTTTTAACTGCAAACAATGGGAGTAATGAGGCGCATTCCCGTACAATTCACAAGGAAACAGTGTACATTACTGTTTTTCCCCCACTAAACATGAATGTGTTTGCTTTTGTACCTTAGGACATCCGGCCACGTTGATAGACGTAAGCATCTTACAGCAGAATGCCACGGTCTTTACAGTGTTGTTGGTTATTTGCAAACAGTGAGAAATATCCATCAGTTCCAAGTCCTTTGACTGATGGCAAAATTTCTGTTACAGGAAACAACGAAAACATCCATTTTTATATCTGAGTAAAAGCACATTTTTAAAAAAAAGAATAGGGTGGGAATAATAAAAGATGAGTGTGTCTGGGGATTGCTTTTAATATGTTTTACATGGCTGAGAAATTCTTATATTTGACAGCTTTCCAGGCCCCTTCCCAGTTGTACGGTTTTGTGACACAAAACCAGAAGTTTACAAGGACCTGACTAGACTCTTAATGGATTTGGTTGTGACCTGCATGAAACATTTTAGTTTGGCTTTTAATGTGGACTAATACTCAAATGTTAACTTAAAGCTGTGTTATTAGTTGCCTACTTTAAGTTTCTCTATTTTCAGGATGCTATTCATATATTTAGTAACAAAGAAAACCCAATTGAAATATATCCAGCCTCTTCTAAGCTCACTGTTGTATGGCATGTCAGTGCTTAGATTTTGTGTTAAAATTGAAACAGATGCAACTGACATTGAAGACTAAATGTAGCAAAGAAAGAGGAAATGTCTCATCACATTTCCATGATATAAAATGTACTTCTTTCTGTATTTGCCATTACTTTTGTGTACATAGTAAAACTGATTTTCCATTTTACGAGGCTTAGCATAAAAGGTCAACAAGTGTGCATTTGATCTATGCAAAGTAATTCTGGGCTATAGTAATATAAGTGAACTAACAGTACTGTTCCTGCATTGTGGAGTATTTTAAACGTAAGGCCAAATACCAATGTAAGATAGATCTTTGACCTCAATGCAGTTTATAGAACAAATATTTCAGTTTTGCATGTATGTTTGTGGCTTAAGGTATGCACTGGCTTCTTATATCTCTAGAAAAAAGAAGCAAAATCTCCCACTACAGTTACAATCTCAACCCTCCACCTACATATCCCACAAATCCTCTGTTATTTAAAAGACATCATAAATATTCCAGTTTAGAGCATCTCATGTTGTCTTTACTAATTTGTATTGAGATTGTTGTCCATCAAAGGAGTGAGCTTGGAGCGGCAGTGGCGTAACAACCGGGGGTGCAGCAGGGGCGCGGGCCCCGGGCGAAAAGTGAAGGGGGGGCGCCGGCCGAAAATGGCACTTTCGGCTAAATGCCGAAAGTGACATTTTCATGGGCCAATCTGTTGCACTGTTTCCATCTGACCACAGAAAATCTGCAGATAAATTGTAAGGTGTGTGGGCACCTTAACTATTAACAAAAATGTAGCTTTTTTGTGTATCATTTAGCTGTAGGTCCTCAAATCATCTCTGAATTGGTGCTGACACTGTCCTTCCTTCTGGAGGGTGGCTACCATGCCAAGCTCGCTCCTGTGATAGATTACAAACTCACGTTTAGTTTACTAATTTGTATTGAAGTTATAGTCTATCAGGAAGCGAGCTTGAAGTGATGGCTACTGTACAACACACACAGGGACCATGGGGAATAAAAGCAGCCACCCTCCAGAAGGAAGGACAGCGTCAGCATGAATTCAGAGATGATTGAAGGATCTACAGCCAGTTAATAGTTAAGGTACTTAAGTTTTAAGATAACGCCGAGTTTAGTGTCATTTTAAGTCATGGTAAAGTTATCTCCAAATAAACAGGTCCATAGAGGATATGTAAAAATAGCTCTGGTCCATAAGGAATGAGAAAAGACGTATCAGCGCTAAGATCATCCTCATGTTTGAAACATGAAATTATTATACTTGGGTCCTTGATGACAGGTCTCAATTGACAGAAAAAGAAAGAGAAACGATTGAGTTATAATAGTACATTTATCCTTTGTAAGGGAGTCCATGAGGATAGTAATATGGAACTACCACTGCTGATCTGTCTTAAAAGCCAAGATGAGGCGGAAGGCCCTTAAACCTGTACATTTAACTTGTAACTGACTTGGAACAAGCATAATGGGAGTTCAGACTTTTCTGACTGCATTCTTGTTCCTGGTCAGTGACCCCCAGATAGTAAAGCCAGGATCAGGATGACTGCCCCGAGGCCTTCACCCTAAAGAAGTTCAGCAATGGCAAATCCCATACTTCTGTCCTCATAGCTTCCCTTTAATGTACCAAAGATAATACTACACATCAAAAAACATTTAGGTTTTATGTTACCTGAATTCCATTATCTGAGACCCCAAGGCATTCCGAAATGGAAAGTTCTCTTATTTTACTTTGAACTGCAAGGGCTGTCAGTCCCTGGATGGAAGTACAGTAGTTACATTAATTGAAGTAACAGATGTAGAATCTAAATGAAGACCTGATGTTTGTTGTCTATATACTAACTTTATAGCTAACAATGAATACAAATACACACATACGCCTCGAGGCTTCTCTCTGGCTAGGATTGCAGTGTCTTTGAAAATATACAAGTGCAAAGTAAAAAAAAATAAGGAAAATAAATTGGCTTGGTATGCCATATATCACCAAATTACAATGAAGGGGTATGGCTTCAATAAAGTAGCCAGTGACCAAACTCAGTTCCCTGTAATTTACATATGCCTTAGTCAGATGGGCCTACAAATCAGGAACTGTACTTTGTTCTTCGTGCACTGTAATGCAGTGTGAGTAATTTGTGGTCTGGCCTCCAGATGTGAATGCCATTTCTATATCAGCCCCGTACATGCACAATTTACCTCTAGCAATGGAGCCTAATAAATCATGAGTATGGAATATGTAGCCTGTTGCTCTAATCATCTTTATCATTCTCACAAGTATTATTTGTTTATAAAGCACGAGCACATCAGGAGAGGGTGACACAGAGAATGGATAAAAACAGCTAAAACATACAAGTGGAGATGAGCCTTATATACAGAAAAGAGCAGCCTATAGTGCGTGCCTAAACTAGACTTAAGAAGAACTCCATGCAAAAGTGCTCATAACCGTGGCAACTGCAAAAGTGCTCATAACCCTGGCAACTGCAAAAGTGCTCATAACCGTGGCAACTGCAAAAGTGCTCATAACCCTGGCAACTGCAAAAGTGTTCATAACCGTGGCAACTGCAAAAGTGTTTATAACCCTGGCAACTGCAAAAGTGTTCATAACCGTGGCAACTGCAAAAGTGTTCATAACCGTGGCAACTGCAAACGTGCTCATAACCCTGGCAACTGCAAAAGTGTTCATAACCCTGGCAACTGCAAAAGTGTTCATAACCTGGGCAACTGCAAAAGTGTTCATAACCCTGGCAACTGCAAAAGTGTTCATAACCATGGCAACTGCAAAAGTGTTCATAACCATGGCAACTGCAAAAGTGTTCATAACCGTGGCAACTGCAAAAGTGTTCATAACCGTGGCAACTGCAAAAGTGTTCATAACCGTGGCAACTGCAAACGTGCTCATAACCCTGGCAACTGCAAACGTGCTCATAACCCTGGCAACTGCAAAAGTGTTCATAACCCTGGCAACTGCAAAAGTGTTCATAACCCTGGCAACTGCAAAAGTGTTCATAACCCTGGCAACTGCAAAAGTGTTCATAACCCTGGCAACTGCAAAAGTGTTCATAACCCTGGCAACTGCAAAAGTGTTCATAACTGTGGCAACTGCAAAAGTGTTCATAACCCTGGCAACTGCAAAAGTGCTCATAACCCTGGCAACTGCAAAAGTGTTCATAACCGTGGCAACTGCAAAAGTGTTCATAACCCTGGCAACTGCAAATACTGCTTTGTCTAGGTGCTAAAAAAAAGATACTCACCCAAACCAGTGCCGGCTCCCTGCTTTTCCAGTCACTGAAGCCTCTCTCCTACACTGCAGCACCGGACTGTTCCTCAGCATCCTCACATCTATTCACGGTGTATAGAAAGTGATGACTTACGGGACCTTAGACTGCTGGAGCGGACGCGGAGAGAGGCTCCAGGGACCAATCTAAGAATAAGCCTGCTCCAAGGATCGGGTGAGTATAACTTGTTTTTCTTTTTTGAACCTAGCCAAAAACTAGCACTTGACCCTTGCTGTGTAGGGGTAGCCCCACTGCAAGGGTTAATACAAATTCTGCCCAGAGTTCTGCTTTAAAGTGCAACTAAAGCCAAAACTTAGAGTGGAGAGGGATTAGAACGCCTGTCAGGTTTTTATTGTAGCCTGTGTCCCCATTAGGGAGATTCACCCTCTCTATTTGTCCTGGGGACTGTTATCACTGAACATAAGAGCAACCCCCAAATTTTGGGTTGCCATCACAACAGGAACAGATGAGAAATCTTCCAATGGAGTCACTTGGTCTGGTGACCCTGATGAGCACCAAAGATTTCCTCTCACCTACTGTTTAGCTATTGGACAGGAAGTGAAGGAACAAAGGGACAGGAAGTGTGTTATTGGCAGTATTACCAGGTAAAATAAAGGGAAAAATCCTCTAAAAAGGAAAACTAATGTAGCGACCACATCTAAGGACTGGTAAGCTGCAATATAGAACTGTTTTTATTCTGGGTTTAGATACAATTTTGTCACCATTTTATAATTTAAGGGTATCCATGACACAAAGAACTGCACAGAATACCTCAGGCTTTTTATACTGGATTTCATCATTTGCAGAAATTCTATGTCACCAAGTTTGGCCATAACAATAATATTTCAAGCATTAAATAGAACGCTGTTGAGATATGGTGCTTTGTTGGAATCTTTTATTCCTCATTGACTTCAAAAATAGCTTCCTGTTGGGATCCTATATATTAATAAATAAAGGTTTCCCAAAAATAATGTGCTGTATAGTTCTCCTTCTTCCTTTGGGAAATGTTAGTGAAGAAACCAGAGTCAATGTCCAATTTACTTCTGACAGAAAATCCAGATGGTTGAAAACATCTGAACTTTAAATCTGCAAACAGTTTGTTATAAACATCAAGGCAAAGACTATGAACAGGGAAAAGGACCGAGCCCCAGTTGTAGTAAGGAAAATTACAGTAACTTTAACTCAAGTGGACTTGAGGGTGGATAGGTTTCTAAGAGGACTGAAGACTGTAGAAGTAATCAGAGCATGATATTTATTTTCCCTGACAAGTGCTGTAAAGATCATGGACATGAAGCCCACATAACAGGATATCAAGCGTTGGAAAGCCATAATCTCACTTTCAGCAGCTTGTACTGTTGATAGTCAAATCTTGCTTTATACATTGGTAATATTGCTGGCACCCAAGTGTGTTTGCCTGGTGTTCAGCAGCAGTGGCGTCCTGAGGCTGGGTGACACCCGGAGCGGTGTCCGAGTGTCACCCCGCCGTGACGTCGCCACGCGTGTGCGCGATGACGTCATCGCGCACGCACGGCCGTATTCCGATACCTGCCGGCGGCCATCTTGGTGATGGACGCCGGCAGAGAGAGGAGGAGACAGTCACCCGGCGGGATGAGGTATGCCGCCGGGTCCCCTCCTCTCTCCTGATACTGTCGGGCGTTCGGTCCATGACCGAGCGCCCGACTTTTCAAGAGGGGGGGTGACACCAAAATGACTGTAAGTCACTGTAAGTCATTTTGGTGTCACCCCTCCAATTGGGTCACCCGGGTGCGGGCCGCACCCCCCTTGTGACGCCACTGTTCAGCAGTACCAACATACACAGAATTTATCATTCTGTCCAGTCACTTTTGCAATGTATACACCTCTGCCACACATCAGAGCCAACCAAAGGAATACATTGGTGCCACCTTCCCAGATGTGGCCTGCTAGTGAGGGAGCAGTAACATACTGATAAATCACCAGCTCTGTTTTCTCTGCTCTCTCATCCTGATAATATATCCCCTATAAGCACATGGGCATGGTCCCTTGACTCGGTCTTTCTTCTTCTAGACTCAGTGCTACTTTACAGGGCATGACAGGAGTCATATAAAGACAGATTCGGGTCCTTATGCTAGTTGTTTGTATGAATGCATTTTATTACCTCTAAAGGATTACACAAATACATTCATTGCTCTTTTTATATACTGTAGCTGCATGGAGCTTGTCGCTTTAAAAGATACTCAGGTCCTTAGTAGTGACAGATATAGGAAATGTACACAATGGAAAAAGTATTTCCGTTTGTTGAATAGGTTGAAATTGCTAAGTCTTAAACTTAAAAAATTCCTAGTAGTATGGATACTTATAAGCAGTTGCTGTGATGACTATTGGGTTGGGGTATGAAAACTACAGCACAGTTTATATACTGTATAAGTGACACTAAACTCAGGACTTAAATCTTAAAAATGGATTCAAGTACCTTAAAGGAGAACTATGAGGCGAGTGCTTTTCACTCACCTCATAGTTCTAGCCGACCTGTGACAATGAGACTGTCACAGGTCGGCTCAGTAGATCGGGAGGTGAGCGAACACATACCGGCGTTCGCTCACCTCTCGATCCTGTCATGGCTCTCTGCCGTGACAGGGGAGGGGCTGGATTCCCCTCTCCCTGCTCCGATCCTCCAGCGCTGACTGGAGGAACGGACGGGGGAGGGGGCGGGTACAGCTGACTCTGCCTCTGCTTATCTAGAGGCTACAGCTGTCACTCACGCAGCTGGGCGGATCCAGACATAAGTGTCGGGATCCGCTTCAGCTGCGGCGTCTCAGCTGTAGCTCGCGGTATACTGAGTCTAGGGTGACGGGAGGACGCTAGTTTGTGTCCTCCCGTTACCCTAAGGAGAACTATGGGGGAAAGCCCTAACCCCCATAGTTCTCCTTTAACTACTAACAAAAATGTATCTTATTTGTGGACGGTGGTTACTTTTGTTCCCCATGGTCCTTGTGTGTGTTGTAAAGTAGCAAAGCTCCAAGCTTACTCCTGTGATGGACTACAATCTCATGTTTAGTTTGCTAATTTGTAAAGAGATTGTAGTCCATCACAGGAGTAAGCTTGGAGCTTTGCTACTTTACAACACACACAGGGACCATGGGGAAGCACAGTGTCAGCACCAATTCAGAGATGATTTGAGGCTCTACAGCCGAGTGATACACAAATAAGATACATTTCTGTTAATAGTTAAGGTACTTGATTGTATATTTAAGATTTAACTCCTGAGTTAAGTGTCACTTTAAGTGGCATGGCAAATAAAGTGGGAGATTCTGACATATGTAATGTACAGCACATAGAGTGGGCTGATTTTGAATATGTAAAACAAAGCACAGCGTACAGAGCGGGCTGGTCTGCAATATGTAACATAAAGCACAGCATACAGAATGGAGTGGTCTGGAATATGTAACATAAAGCACAGCATACAGAATGGACTGGTCTGGAATATGTAACATAAAGCACAGCATGGGGTGGTCCAGAGAATGTAATGTACAGCAGTGAACAGAGTTGCAAGGGATTGGCTTCTCTTCTGCTTCATTACAAAATCTGTTCATTTGACGTGTAATCTAATATTTCGCTTTGTAACGTGTTTTCCTCTGGCCCCACTAGCTCTCCCCCACCGTACAGTGTATTTAACTGTAAGCTCAAATGACTTGGAGCCACAAGTCTCCATGTAGACTGTATTTTATACATATTCGGAATGGTAAGCTTTTTCTTTGGCTTCTGGTTACAGCAGATATATATAATGACAACCTTTGAAGAAGAAGGCTGACTTCATCATTAAATGAAAACCAGAGCCTGTGGAAGGAAATATAGAACATAGGAAAAACAGCACAGTTTGCATTTTTTAGACACACCATATTTAATCCGATGTTGTTTCCATTTCCGTGCTGTCAGATCGACGAGTATTCCCTTCATGGAAGCAGAAGTACCCTAAATTACAATGTGGCTTCCAAAACTATAATCATGTGTCCTATTACTGCCAGTGTAAACTGTGCTGTCCATTGGTAGAATATCGTGGACAGCACAGTTTACACTGTGTCAGCTAAACTTCTGACAAATACAAAAATACCATTTCATTCCCTGATCTACTCTCTGCAAGCTGGAATGTATGTGACATGCTTCAGACTGCTGCCCTTTGTTAGCTGTGCTGTACATTTCATACTTTCGACTGCTGCACTCTGTAAGCTATGTTGTACATTTCATGCTTCGGACTGCTGCACTTTTTTAGCTGTGTTGTACATTTCATGCTTCGGACTGCTGCACTCTGTAAGTTGTTCTGTATATTGCAAAGTCCTGACTGCTGCACTTTGGTCAGGAGTATGTAATAAAGAGCACAGCTTGCAAAGTGTTCACTTGTTGGTTGGTCAGTAATCCTCAACTACTGTAATGAGGTTCTCCTTAAGGGCTGGTTCACACCAGTCAAAGTGCATTCTGGCCTGATTGGTGCCTGATTGAACTGGATCGCACTCCGGCTGGCTCACTTTGTTTTGGTGCGGGAGGGGGCGTGGCTGTGGTGCATTGAAGTCAATGGCACTGCAGCCATGCCCTCCGGCTGCAATGCAATCACCTGCACCAGAACGTGTGGCACATCAGTGCCTGCGTTCCGGCCCGGTGCAGTCAGAAAAAATGCTGCATGCACTATTTTTTCCTACTGCACCGGACCGGAACGCAGGCACTGATGTGCCACACGTTCTGGTGCAGGTGATTGCATTGCAGCCGGAGGGCATGGCTGCAGTGCCATTGACTTCAATGCACCACAGCCACGCCCCCTCCCGCACCAAAACAAAGTGAGCTGGCCCGAATGCGATCTAGTTTATTCCGGCACCAGTCGGGCCAGAATGCACTGTGGCTGGTGTGATCTAGCCCTTAGGGCAAGAGCTGTATGTAAAGTACGGCATAATAATACAGAGCTTTATACCGGTGTTTCTACAAACAATAGGAGCATTGTCCAGTCATAGATACCTGGTCTGTAATGCTGGTCCCAGAGAGGTCAATGGAAATAAGTGAACTCATATTCCCAATGAGTTCAATACCAGAATCAGTCACATTCTCACAGTATCGAAGGCTTAGAAAATTCAAATTGTGACACCTACAACAGAAAACATGTTCATTAATATAACCGGTATATGAAAAATATATATATACACAAGTACAAATAAATGTGTTCAAACAAATACAAACTCTGAAAGTTTCAATATAGAACATAGTACACATAATGTATCATGATATAATGTACTATGGTGACATGGTATAATGTGCTATTATAGTGTCATGATATAATGTTCTATGGTGACATTGCATAATGTGCTGTTGTATAGCAGATGTTATGACACAGCAAAAGTATAACATTCTTTTGTCATTGATGAGTTGACTTTAAATGCAGCAAGTAGACTGTGCAGCAGTGTCAGCAGTAAAACGAAACAATACAAGTTCTTCTATATCCAGTCAGATACTGTAGGCCCTCATTCCACATAGTTGTTGGTAAAGCTAAAGTAAAATGTACATTCACATTGTAAGATGTGTGGCCAGCTTTATAATTATGAGGCAATACCAATGCTCTGATAAAGACATTATAATAAGGTGCCATGAGAAACACTCGTAGTAGTAGCAAGCTGTGTACAGGATTTTATGACATGGTTTTAGAGCTCAGCCTAATTCCTGCAAGAAAGACAACAGACACACAAAGACAACATAGACATACAAAGACAACATAGACATACAATGTCAACAGACCAATGGTGTGTGCTAACTACACACTCTACAGCCAGGAACTCCAGCGAATCAGTTTGATCATGGAGTGTCTGGGCCACTGAGAGTTCCTCCGATTCAGCTGCAATTGGCTAACAGAAGCAGTGACATCTGAGTCACCACTTAACCCCTTCATGACTGAGGCCCTTTTTTCCATTTTTGCACCCATGTTATATTCCACATTTAGCACTTTTGCCGCCAAATTGGGATAACACCTATTAATATTTGTAACATGTTTCTCGTTCACACAGCATACATTTTTTTAAATTGCTGCTTGCACAACACATGCTAGATTCTAAAAGAAAAGTTGTTCTCTGTATGAGGTTTGCTCTTGAATGCAAGGGGGACTGGGTAGGTTAAATTCAATATAATTAACCCTGTCTGTTCTGTGCTGGTAGACGTCATTATCAGTTGTAATCTAGATTTGAACACTGTCTGTCCTAACACAGGGTTAAAGATCAAGAAGCATTATATGTTTATGAGGGGAAGGACAAGTGTATTGCCACAACTAAATGTTTGCTGCTCAGGTATTGTCTGATTGCATCCCCTTTAATTTTTTTTTTTTTTGCTATTGTCATGTCAGCACTGTTTATTTCAATGACCAGATTACTATAACTTAAAAAAAGCAAAGTCACAAACTCTGTTTATAACATAGAGGAAAAGGACTGAGGCCCACATGTGCTGTAAACAGCAGTTCCGGGCTGAAAATCACATTTGAGGTGAGTAGCTTCTCCGGGCTGATCACTGAGATCTGTACTCTTCTTTATAAACACTCACAGGGACTAGGATATAACTTTACATGGTGGCACAAAACTCCAGTGAGAACAAGAACATGTAATACACATACAATAGGCCATACATAGCTAAATACATGCACTGTACAACAACCAATTCCACTATTAGACACCAGATGATAGTTTGGCAAAAGCACATGAAGCTAGACACTGTTGGAAAATTGATGCAAACACATCTAGACGTCTTGAAGTATGTGACATGCCATCAGCAATGGTGCAGCTGGTGCCGGGGCACCAGTGCCTGAGGCTGTGGGGGAGCCTCAGTGGGGTCCGGTCCTGCAATATGGGGCAGTGCACGGTCCCGGTGTTCGAACACTGGGGCCCCGCACTGCCGACAGGCTTCTCAGTGAGGGGGCGGATCCTGTAGTAGTTGTGTACTGCTTTTTCATGTAATTAGACAAGTGGATTATAATGGGGAATATTACATGTGTGACCAGTGACGTGGTCACACATTTTAACGTAATCTCGCCCAGTTTTTCGGCGGTGGAATAGGTGAAGAATTCCAGCGCTTTCTCTGCTGTTCCAGGGCAGATCGGCATTGCAAATGAACCGATCTGCCCTGAAATAGCTGATCGGTCCTGAAATGTCACTTCTATCCGACTTTATGAGTACGGTGAAATGTGAGATCGCAGTCGGAGAGAAGTTACATTTCAGGACTGATCAGCTGTTTCAGGGCAGATCGGTTCTCCTGCACATGCGATTTGCGATACTGATCTGCCCTGGAACAGCTGGGAAAGCGCTGGAATGCTTCACCTATTGGCGGTCACACATTCCACCGCCGAAAAACTGGGCGGGATTACGTTAAAATGTGTGACCACGTCACCAGTCACACATTCTAACGTAGTCACAACCTTTGATAGAACACCGCCATCAGGGGGGTATGACCGGTACCCATGTGAGGGGTCTGGGGGGCTTCTTACATGGGTATCAACTGTACCGGGGCGGCCCTGCAGAGCCCACCATAGGGAGTCTCAGGTGGGCTATGCAGGATCTATGGTGTGCTCTGCAGGGTCTCAGGTAAGTCCAGCACGCTACTGCAACATTAGAGACCGCTGGGGCGGGGGGGGGAGCGGGGGCCCAAGATAAAATCTTGCACCAGGGCCCTTTGGTTATTAGGTCCACTCTGTTTTAAGAGGTGTTTATACATTGTATAATAAATGCTGTGCTTCGTATAATGCTTTGTGTTTCACTATATAGTAAGCCCTCAGGGGCAGGGCCCTCCTTACCATCTTGTCTTGATATGTATTGTGATTGTAATGTCCTCCTTATATTGTAAAGAGCTGCACAAACTGTTGGCGCTATGTAAAACCTGTATAATAATAATATTGCTTGCTGAATCAGTACACTGTCCAGTAATTATACTCACCCTCAGGGTAAGATCCAGTCAGAGAACTGGAGAATCCTCCAATGAGCTCCATGAATCCCCTTCCTCTACGTTGTGCTTTCCACCAGTCACAATGCCCCAACCCTGTGCCTGCCTACCTTAGCAATTAGAACCTGGTATAGCAGTACTGTGCCTTTCCAATGCATAGTTATCGTGGAGAATAAATATTGTCTGGCACTATTGGCAACCTGTAAGGCTGGGTTCACATCTAGGCGTTCGTAATATGCGAGTTTGACGCACGCTTCGGGCCGCACATTTTTATCACGATTTGCGGTCCACGAAACGCGTGCCAAACACGCGTTTACGAAAGCTATCCGCCATATCCTAATGGATACGCGCGGAAATATGCCCCAAAAGAAGCTCCTGTACCAGTTCAGGCGTAGGGCGTTTTTCAGCGCGTCAAAACGCGCTGAAATACGCCCAGGTGGGAACCATGCCCATAGGAAATTATGGGATTTCACTGCTTGAGTGTTTTCCAGCGCTTCGATCAGTACTGAAAAACGCCCAGGTGTGAACCCAGCCTTAGGGCAGAGCTTCCCATGCCATAGACTGGGTAAACCTGGCATTCCAGGTTGATCCTGCATGTTTGGGCTGCCAATAGAGGTATCCAAGGTGCAGGTCAGATGTTCAGAGTTATGTTCTGTGTTTAGATGTTATCAGTCAGAACAAAACTGCTGATGCTGAGCTGCTGAGCTTCTGAGCTGAGAGATTTTCTTTTTAGAGTTGACAAGGATTTATACAGGGCTTGCAAAGTAGAGATGAGTTGAAAACATCCCAGTACCAGTCTAATACCCCATTGTATGCTGCCATGTACTGGCATCAGGAAACGAAAATTACCGATAGGTAAGTATACAATTTTCCGTTATATAGTCTCTTATTTTTCAAATTTCAGGAATTAAGACTGTACTTGCTATCTTAAATTTTTCTAAACGTAAACCAGTACAATATTAACCACAGGCTGATACTAATGGTTCCCACAACTAAAATGCCATGGAAAACTATAGCATCACCATGTGATTAAAGAGACACTATCACCTTGCCCATGTAGGTCAATTTCCCACTGACTCACTGGCAGTTTTTTCCACATATCTCACATATTTGTTTTCTCTGGAGTTTTGTTTTTCAGTCTACCAAACACTTCTACACATCGCTTGTGTTGAGTTACTCTCCTAAGATGGTGTTTTGGCACTCCTTAGTGGCTCTTTTACACATGAATTTTTAAATTTTTTACCTCTGAGGCCCCCCCCCCCATTTTTTGGTGTGCCACTATGTTTAAGCCATTAGTCTCAAATTCTGATTTCTTTACACTGCCTGATGATTTGTATCCAATGCCGCATTCCTTCCCTCTACTTGACATTGCCCATGTAGGGCAAATTGAAACTGTCTTTGTGAAGGACACCCCACTTACCTTCTTATGCTTATCTTACATGCACTCCCTTGCTGCTCCTTCCTCAGCCACAGCCAGAGACACTACCTGGTGTACACCTGCTCCACTGTGACAATGCTTAGACGTACGAGCTGGTGAGGTGGGCCCCTTTGCAGAGACACTGCCACTTTTCCCTGTGTGGGCAAGGTGTTAGCATCTCTTTAGGATTTTTACTGCCATGTGTTTAGATGAACTCTAGTTAGCAAGCAGAGTCTATTTCCTGTAAAATGGGGAGAAAATACATACGATACATTCTTTCTTCTCTTGCAGAAATTAGCAATTACACTGTGCATGCACACTAGAATTTATTAAAAATCAGGCCAGTAAAATGTTAGTCACATGCTGCTCCCACTTCTCATGGCCAGTGTATACTTATTGCAATAAAACAATGCGGTTACATGTTTGATTACATGTGAGCAGTCTTTGACAATATCTTGTTACATGTGAACAGTCTTTGACAGTCTTTTGTTACATGTATACTGTGATTTGAGCATTATGGTCCTTACTCGGGTTTGAACATTTCCGTAATTTACATGCATGCACTATTTTTGCGATTGCACCGCAGGCATTGCTGTGCCACGCGTTCTGGTGATTGCACTGCGGGTGGGAAGCGAGCCTGCGGTGCCATTGAATGGCACCACCACACCCCCCCGCCCCAGAACGCAGGGAGGCTTAATTATGCGATCCGCTGGATTCCAGCCACGAACCGTGCTGGAACGCACTGAATTAAGTGTGAAGCCCTAATGGATGGGGACTGGGTAGCTTTTGTATCCAAATCAGTTTGTGTGTGTGTATGATATATGTATGTATGTGTGCACGTGTGTGTGTGTGTACTATATATATATATATATATATATATATATATATATATATATATATATAATATATACTGTATATAGTGCACTTTTTGTTTTCTCCCTGAAAGCTTTGCTCTGCAAAAACCTTCTTGGAAATACTAACACAATTACAATCCTCCTCTACTAGATCAGGACACATACTGAGCAAAACAGACATAGTCTCTATCAAAGTTACTGAAAGTAATTCTTTTCTGGCTTGAAGACATGGCTAGTCTCTGCAGAGCTGGCAGGATTGAGAATGACATCAGAATCATTAATGAGTCCAGATGCACAAAATTCACAGGAATTTTACTCCAGCAGTATAGATCACATTGAATGTTTTGTCAAAATACAACTCAACAAACCCTAAAATGAAAATCTAGTTAAACTAAAAGAAATGCACACATTATTCAGAGTTGTAAAGAAAACCCACCATGGGAGAAATATAGAGGCTGCCATTGCTGGCCTCTCCTTCTGAAAATGATAAGTTTACTAAGCTGTCATACTGACTGTCAAAGACAGTGGGGAAATAAAGGAAAAAGGAAAAGATGTGATACTCAAAAATGTAAACTATGCTGGCAATTTCTGCAAAAATGGGAGATCTCGGATCCAGACAATGGAAAACATAAACGTGGGCTGCCACCACTCACAAATTAAGGACTTGCAAGAGACCCAAACTCCTGAAAATCAAACTCTGTTCTCCACCCGAAAACAGGCTAGTAAACAAGGTTTTGCAAACATTTGTGCTGTTTTGAATAGCAGTTGAAATTTAAATGGTAGCTAAACCAGCCACGAAAAATCTCCCTCTGTCCCTCAAAGATGGCGTTACACTTCTGAACAGTGTTTGCATACTGTTCAGAAGCTTCCTCTTATACAGAGCAAGTCCTGTCTGTCATTTTGACAGCTAGGGTTTGCCGGCAATAGCGGCAGGGGAAGTGGCAGTGGTAGAAGAGGAGCAGGACCCACAGCGTACTCCCTCGGTTCTTCTAAAAGGTGAATGTTACACATATAACAGCAACAAAAGTAATGCAATGAAGGTAAAAAAATAGCAATTTGTGTAAAAGCAATGCTCCTCCCCTCTACTCCATCCCTGGAACAGGATTTTATTAACGTTTATTTTTTCCAATTCAGAATTCTGGACTGCACCATCACCAATGTGGACTTTCACTCAAACTTACTTTTGTGCAATCCTGAGAAGAGACAAGTCACTGACACGCAGACAGTTTGTTAAATTTAGTTCTTTTATCTTGACTCCTGAAGGGCCTTCTAGGACTTGTCTCACTCCTGGGTCACTGATCCTGCAACAAAAACCACATGTTACTAGAGCTTCATGTTAGTGCAGCAATGATTCAAAAGGCAATTTGCAAACTATTTTCTACACACACATCAAGTAGGCCAAGGGTAGGCAATCTCAGCACTCCAGCTGTTGTGGAATTACAAGTCTCATGAGGCATTGCTAGTCTTTGACAGCCGCAGGCATGACTTTAAGTGACCGAAGCATGATGCGGTTTGTAGTACTTTTTAACAAAGCTGTAGTGAGTGCTTTTCAGAGTCCTTGATAAGTTTTGTAGATAAGGGATCTTTTCATAACTTGAAGCACTATACTGACTTGCTTGTGTTAGATTGCCTATACTGATGCAACTGTTAAAGCGGAACGAGACCCACCAATTTAACAATCTCCCAAAATAGTTACTTTTAAGGCATGCCTCATGTAATCACTGTCAGGGTTGCCAGCTCTCAACCAAACATTCAAGCCTTCAAATGGCTGGTTTCATTACTGATCACATGTGTAGCACCATGGCGACTGCAATCCAAATTGAGGCTAGAATGGCACCTTACCTGGCTGTAAAGGATAGGTGGGTGTAGTTCCATTTTAAAGTGCAAACCCAAAATGTATGTTTAAGTATGTTTTTCCATCATTTCTCACTGTATACAGTTTTTTAAGCAAATATGTTTTGTGAATTTATTACAAAGTTTCTTAAGCTGGAGATCGTGCCAACACCAGCACTTCCTGCTGCAGGCTGGCAAGACTGCCTCACAGCAGCTGTGTTGTCAGCCCTGTGCATTCCTTCAGTTGGGCATTGGGCAGACTATCTGATTTGTTAGGCAGACTTGACCTGAAGCGGGACGCACAGAAGGGTGAAAATTCTTCTTGTAGTTGAAAGGCAGTGGCTTAGTGTTGTCAGCCTGCAACAGGAAATGCTGGTACTGGCAGGATCTCCAAGTAAAAAACTTAGCAACAGATTCACAATAATATAATTTGTTTAAGAATATAGTGATGCCAAACATACAAAAATAAAGATGATTACATAGACATGATGTAATGCTTTATAGTAATCATCTGCTTCCAATTAGAGCAGATTACTAACCATATATGCAGCCGAAAAAACACAAAATGATAAAATGCTGCATGGTCTTCTATAAATACACACCGGCCACTGTTCTTTATTTATAAGAGCTAAAATAACCTTTAAACGTCAAAGATTTCTCACAACTTTCAATTTCAAACCTGTATCCCATTATTACATGCAAAAATATTCTTCTTTCAGTCATGGCACCCTTTAAAAGTATGCAAATTCTCAAGGCACCACAGTCTAAAATGTAAAAACCATAAATGTAAAAAATGACATGTGGTCCCTCCAAAATCCATACCAAACCCTTATATGAGATACGGGCCTGGTATTGATTTTAAGGGAAAAAACACACAAAAAATTGGGATTCCCTCTATCATATTAGAGTCCCCTTAAAGGAGAACTATGGGGTAAGTGTTTTTCCCCATAGTTCTCCTCAGGGAAATGTTACAGTTCTCTTTTCACATCAGAACCCCTTTCCCCCTTCAGAGTTCCCCTCTTTCAAATCAGAGGCATGACTTTGTGTGAAAATCCTAAGGCACCCTGAGGAAGCCAGAAGGCACCCTGGTTGAGAAAGGCTGGTCTAGACCCCAACTCAAGCCAAGACATTTTTTTTTGTTTAGGAGGCAGTAGTGAACAGTTAGAAGGTCTGTCAGCTTTTGATTGGTCTCCATATCCTTGCTGGGGAGATTTTCCCTGACTTCCTGTATCAGAGATGACTGGAGTTGGCCCTTAATGTCACATTATGCCCTCACAGTTGGTGAGTAGTTTTTCTTCTCCTATCGTTTTCCATTATAGCAACAGTTGGAGTATAGAAATGTGTAGCTGCAGCAGGCCTTGTAAAAAGATGCCTTTAGTTTGGCACCTGTGAGAAGCAAATTTAAAGCTCTGATCACATACAGTATACTGCAGCTGAAACAATTTCTCTACACCATCCAGCTGTCGTGCAATGGTTTCATGCCATAGCATCTGGGACACATTTACTTTTACAGTTAAAAACGCTAAGGGTATCCCGGTTGCTGAAATTTATTGGTACTATCAATTACACCTTTCTCCATTGAAAAGAATGTGGACACACAATAAAACAGTATAGCATTTTTCCAAAGTGTGAACCATTGGTTGATTCTATTTTATAAAATCAGTGCAAAGAGCAATGGTAATGTGCAAAGTACAGTAAACCCTTAGCAATGAATCTTACGTCAGCTCATTGCAGTCACAAACGTAAAAGGGTTGGACCAGCCAAAACTGATATTTCAGATTCTGGCAGATGCTAGAGAATTACACCACCTGACAATTTATTGAATCTTCTGGTGACTCCATCAGTGTGCTGGAGTTCCTGGGTCTGCACCACTACTATGGCCATTATGAGGGGTTTCCATTCTCCCTGTTGGATTTCATATATGAACTAACAAGGACAATGCAGCAGATGGTACTGAAACATGCAAAAGTGAGCAGGGTCACCCAAGTGGACAGGAACAGAGCCAGGAATTAAGGACTGGACATCTCAATGCTGGATTGTCCAAGACATACAAGAAGCCAAGAACTAAATCTGTCTGCCATGCTCCACCTGTAACTAAAATGTTGCTTTTGAATGATGTGACCCTTTGAGTGATTTTCTGTTTGGCTGCTGTAATTAATGCATTTTGCACAACATTATTGCTCTTTGCACTATCCTAATAAATAAGCTTGTGGAAGTACAATAACTGGGAAAATGTCATGAAATATTCAGCTTTTAAAATCCAAACAAAAAGCTTTACAAAAAAGGTAGATAGTATGAAGAAGCTCCACAAAAATAATAAAATTCATCAGTAGTGGCTCCCTTTTCCATTCTTGACTTAATGCTAGAGCAGGACTAATCCTAATGATGCTTACCAACACCAGTCAGAATTGTATATGAAGATATAATGGTCCTTATGGGGAAACACATTCCTTCTGTTGGAATAGGTATTTGAAAGGCTTTATTTGATTTATAAATATTAGGCGGTCATTTAGTAGCTAGTAGCTATCCCCAATGTATTGGGAATTTCCATGGGGCAATGTACCTTGATTGCACAGTGTAATTGTAGAGTGTCAATGCACCTAGTGCAGTCCAAAATAGCCGACACTCAACCCCTAGTTTGCTGTATTAAGAAATAAGAAAGACCAAGATGTTTCATTTTCCACCTTTGGGAATACATTCATCAAAAAACGAGTGACACTTCTACTTTTACACCTCTGCTTCTCACACTTTCATGACAATCTGTTACCTTTAGGCCCCTTTCAGACAGGTGGCTCGGTCAGGTCCACTTGTCAGTTTTTCAGGCGGATCTAATCAGGAGCCCAATGTTAGTCTATGGGCAGCCGGATCTAAACTGACTTGCATCTGTTTACATCAGATTACCTCCGACTCCGTTCGGGGCCAGAAAACCAAGCAGAACAAAGTTCTGTTTTTGTAGACCTGAGCATGACGGATTGGAGGTAATCTGATGGAAATGGACACATGTTCGTTTACATCCGACTCCTCTTAGACCGGGGTGGGAAACTCCGGCCCTCCAGCTGTGCTTTAACTACAAATACCAACATGCTCTGGGAGTCATGCCTGTAACTGTCAGTCTTGCAATGCCACACGGGACTTGTGCACGGGTTGCCTGCTAAGCGGAACTGACAGGCGCCCATGTGCAAGGTGCCTTAACATTCTCCTTCCTCTTAGAAAATATAATGACAGTTGGTGTTGATCATGAGAGTGAGCAATACATCCCTACTAGCAGGCGCATTAAGGCATCTATTTTTGAACAAGGAATATCTGCATCCCATCCAGATCATCGTGCCTAAAAACATATGCTTGTATTCACTGTATACAGAGGTATAGGTTCACTATTAGGGCAAAAGCTTATTTCTGTCCTACAGTGACAACGCTCATTTTCTGCATTCCCCGTCTGCTCATCTCCATAACATAGGAGGATGTTCAGAGCTCACTGAATTTCTGGCAAGATCAACAGGTTTTGCTGTTGGAACATGGTAACTATGGCAATACAGAAACATTTTTTTCAGCCACTTCCTTCCCGTATCTAAACATAGGTATTTATAACAGGTATTTATAACAAACTACTGAACATTCTCCCATGTTGCATGTGTGGTTAGTAACATACCTTATGCAGTCTGCTACGTTCAGGACAGCAACATTTTTCAATGAAGAAATTGCTTTCAGGCTGACATCTGTAATTTTCTGGCAATCGGCCAAATAAATGTGGTTCAAACTAGGGCAAGATCTGCTGATTGCTTTGATGCTAGCATCAGTGATTCGATTATTACCTGAAATGAAACAAGAATGATACAAGGTAAATGGTCAGTCCACCAAATTCGATGCAGATAGGTTTTTTTTCATCTCTCAAAGACTATTGGTGAGATCAGGTCCAGGGTCATTATGAGGGGCTTCCACAATTCCTTTTGAATTCATTTTTTTATGTGATAGAGAATACAAAATAAGGTCCCGGAACACACAAAGGTGAGCAGAAACACAAAAAAATATTGACAGGAGCAGAATCGGGAACTATGGCATGGGGATCTAACTGTTGAGGTAGAAGCTGGAGGCATGACTTATTCAGTAAGGCTCAACTATTACTAACATATTACTTTTTGTGTGGACTGAACATGTAATGAAAAGGAAGAGGAACAGGTGATTGGAACAGGTTTTTCAATGTAGTATCTGACCTTCAATTCTGATTTTCACAAGCTTCTTTCCATGTGCAAGGATTTTGAAGGCAGCATCAGAGAGATGGGGGGAGCCCAGCAGAGACACAGAGGCAATGTTATGGCACGTCTCCAACAAAGTCTATAACAGGCCAAGCAAGAAAGTAAATACAACACAGCTTCATTTACTAGCTTTTATCTATGCAGACATTTATCTAAATAGGGGTTTCACCACCCTGCTATATGATTGAATGACCAGTACACGCCATGCACTTTCCATCTAAACAATTATTTTTATTTCTAAGTACCACTTGTATTTTTTAGCCATTTGTATAGTCTGGTAAAGTTTATTTTCACAAAGCACAGATGCGACTTCATTGTGCCGTCCCTGTCAGATGTAACTGTACCCAGAAGACAGCTTTGTGTTTTATTCCAGAGTAAGGAAAATAAACAACTCAGCCTGATTACAGTTATTTACTAAAAGCGTAAGTGGTGCGTGCAATCTCTCTGATTAAAACAGAAATGATCTACTACTAGAGTATTGTCTACTTCGAATGAGCTAAGAAGGTTTTTCTTCTGCCTTTTCATTACGTTACAGGGCTAGCACAGAAAGCACACGTTTAGGCTAGGTTCACACCTGGGCGATCCGTGACCGCACGGCAATCGTGCATGGTACTGCGTGGTCCAGAGGACTGCAGAGTTGCCCACCACCGACGCTCGTGCTGGCAGTGCCATCATTTTCTTAATGGCACCCCAGTCGCACTTGGCGGATTGCGCGGGTTCCTGCCGCGATTCCGCCCGAACAAAATAACATGACAACAGCCACGTGTCGCATGTTGCAAAAAAAGGTACATGTACCTTTTTTTCTGCGATTGCCGTGGGGATGTACCCCATTGAAATCAATGGGGCCGCGCGGCAATCACTGTGTGCAATTGTGAACAACCGCACGTTCCCGGATCGCTCAGGTCTGCACCGGCCCTTAGGAAAGGATGCTTTTTAGTACATATTTTTTTAAATACAGTATATGAAACGCTCATGCTACATTATTATTATCAACATCCCTGATAATTGCGCAGCTATTCACGGAAATACATAAAAATAGGATCAAATCACAAAGCTTTAGCACCAGACTAGGCCTCTCTATTTTTAGCCATGTGACAGTAATTTTCACATTTCATTGAAAATAACTGTCACTTTAAAAAAAAAAAAACTTTTTAGTTGTATTAGCTTTGTGAATTGAGCCTAATGACTTGCAATGTCATGTAATGGGATCCATCGTACATAAGGACTGATTTGAGACATATTATCCAATGAGCCTCATAAAAGAGAATGATGACCAGCAATACTTATCTGCAATGGGTTGTGTTCTTTTCCCAGCCTTATTGAAAAGGCTTGTATATTCACTTTGTTTTTTACTGTTATTCATTTCATGGACACATTTGTCATTGCTGGTTTTAATATTCCAAGCCACTAACCCAGAACAAGTATACAGATAAGGACCACTGACTTTACTCTGCCTTTTCTGATCTGCATTATTATTCCAGCTTAGTGGCTCAAAAAGTGTTACATTTAAAAATATTATTTAGGCAACTATCATGTTCAGAAGGAGGCCAACAATGGCAGTCTCCATAGGAAGGATTTACTTTAAAGAGGAACTCTGGGGGGAAATGATCTTAACCCTTGCAGTGGGGCTACCTCTGTTTTCATCTAGGAGCACAAATAATAAAGTTATACTCACCTGAACCTCACAGCTGGCTGGCTCCTAGATCAGCCTCTGCAGCCTGTCTCCTCCTTCACTCCAGCAATGGAATGTCGCTCTGTGTCCTCACGTCCTATACACTGTATAGGATGTGATAACTCACAGGACCTTAGGCTGCTGGAGTGGAGGTGGAGAGGGGCTTTCAGAACCAGTCTAACAGCCAGCTGGCTGCAAGGTTCGGGTGAGTATAACTTTATTTTTGCTCCTAGATGAAAACTAGCACTTAACCCTTGCAGTGCGGGGGTAGCCCCACTGCAAGGGTTAAGATCATTTTTTCCACAGAGTTCTTCTTTAAATATCCAGAGACACCAAAACAGTTGATAAACTGTACATGTCATACAATATGGCTGGAACCGTTCCTATCATTGACTTGAGTCTCTTATGACATTTGCATACAGATGAGGTTCATACATCATCTCCTGGTTCCTAGCTAGTTTTCCCTTCTAGAACACTTTGATCACTACTGGAGCTTGCTGTTACTAATTGCATGTAAAATCCTTGCTTGTTACTTTTTGTCCTACAAGATATAAATACTAAGAGCAATAATGGTCCCCCCAGAAAGTACAAGAGAGTGAATTCTCCATGTACTGCACAGAGTGCCCAGAGGACACAAGTTAAGACCAGTGAACATAGTGCTGGATAAAGCATTGCAAACATACCTTGCATAAATCAACATACTTGGCCTGATGTACTAAAGCCCCTGAGACTTGATAAATTGTGTAGATATTCACTTCAGTGATCCATTCATGTGAAAAGCTCATTCCTGTTTACTTTGAATGCCCAATCGTGCAGATGAAATAAGTTGACAGGAATTTGCTTTTCACATGATTCGATGATTGAAGTGAATAGTTAAGCAATTTATTACATGAAGGCTCTCACAACCTTTAGTAAATCAGCCTTACCGTGTTGTTTAATGAATTGCTTATTTTTATTCTAGACATTTCTGGAAGAAAAAGAGCCCCGTTATATATGGGGCTCCATTTCTACTTTCTATTAAGTACATGTGTACCTTGTAGTACAGGAGCAGAATTGTGTGTTTTTGACCCTGTAGAATTTTAGATGGAAGCGCCTGAAAAACACAAGTATTTTTCAGGCACTCCCATTGAAGTCTATGAGGCCAAAATGCACGATTCTGCCCCAAAAGAAGCTCATGCACTTTTTAGAGCTTTCTACAACTGGAAACAAGCAACACAATACTCAGGTGTGAGTAGGGGCCATTGAAAATAATGGTTTCTCTTGTTACGTATAGAGAAAAAAGCTACTAAATGCCTTAGTGTGAATGGGGCTTTACTCTGGGCTAAGAATGTATAATATGATTAAAGGAGAACTAAGTGACACTAAACTCAGGACTTAAATCTTAAAAATGGATTCAAGTACCTTAAAGGAGAACTATGAGGTGAGTGCTTTTCACTCACCTCATAGTTCTAGCCGACCTGTGACAATGAGACTGTCACAGGTCGGCTCAGTAGATCGGGAGGTGAGCGAACACATACCGGCGTTCGCTCACTTCTCGATCCTGTCACGGCTCTCTGCCGTGACAGGGGAGGGGCTGGATTCCCCCCTCCCCGCTCCACCAGCGCTAACTGGCGGAACGGATGGGGGAGGGGGTGGGTACAGCTGGCTCTGCCTCTAGATAGGCAGAGCCAGCTGTCAGTCACGCAGCTGGGCGGATCCCGCCATAATTGTCAGGATCTGCTACAGCTGCGGCGCCTCAGTATACCGCGAGCAACAGCTCGCGGTATACTGAGCTTAGGGTGACGGGAGGACGCTAGTTTGTGTCCTCCCGTTACCCTAAGGAGAACTATGGGGAAAAGCCTTAACCCCATAGTTCTCCTTTAATAAGTGTCTTGCAGTATTACAAAGACCTACAGACTGAGGACCTTATCTGTCCTGCAGAAGCTTTTATTGGGCTCTGCTTATGCAATTTTAATAGGCCATCAACAGGGTGGTATTAATACAATCAGAATAGAAGCAGATTGGATTCTTCAATAAATTGCAGTATTTAGAAGACCGTAATAACAAAGCTAAAACCTTGCTTTCAGTTAAAGCATGTTTGACATTATCAGGTCAGTTGCTAGGAAGCCGAAGCATGCAGACAATACTGCATTTTGGCAATGGCAGTGGAAGCCTTGGACATAACCACTGTGTACAGCTTCTATAGATGTAGTAGAAGTTATGCAATAAATAATTCCAGATTTTCTTCCCCCAGCAAAACGGGAGATGAATGCAGTCTTTTGAAACTCAGAACAATTCTACTGTGCACTTAGACCCTCTCCTAATAGATGTGCAAGCTCTGCATAAAATATATTGCCTCACATAAGGGAGTCTTCCAGAAAACATACAATAATTTATCTCTCTGGCCTGGTCTGTTCTCTTTATACCATTTGTGTTCATGCAGCTTGTAAAGATTAGTCACCTAACGAGAATTAAATTGTTTGCAGAACTCAGTGTCTATTCTAAACCAAAAGAATGTACACCAATTAGCCATAACATTATGACCACCAAAGTTTACCAGCAGAACATTGCCTGAAGCATCACCAGGTTGCCTTCTTCCCATAGTGCATCCTCGTGCCATCTCTTCCCCAGGTAAGTGGCACACGTGATTCATCAGACCAGGCCACCTTCTTCAATGCTCCATGGTCCAGTATTGATGCTCACGTGCCCATTGTAGGCACTTTTGGTGGTGGACACAGGTCAGCATTGGCACCCTGACCGGTCTGCTGCTACGCAACTCCATACACAACACACTGCGACGCAGTGTGTGCTCAGACACCTTTCTATTGGAACCAAGATCAACTTTTTCAGCAATGCAAGCCAGCCTTTGCTTCCCACATGCATCAATGAGCCTTGGTCGCCCATGACCCTGTTGTTGGTTCACCGGTTTTAATCCCTTGGACCACTGGTAGGTCCTGACCACTGCAGACTGGGAAAATACCACAAGAGCTACAGTTTTGGAGTTTCTTTGACCCAGTTATCTAGCCATCACAATGTTCCCCCTGTCAAAGTTGCTGAAATCCTTACACTTGCCCATTTTTTCTGCTTCTAACACATCAACGTCAGGAACAAAATGTTCACTTACTGCCTAATTAATCCCACCCACTTCCAGGTACCATTGTAACAAGATAATCAATGTTATTCACTTCACCTCTCTGTGATCATAATGTTATGTATATTTTATTTTTAAGGGTTTTTATTTATTTAATGCATTTTTCCCCCCTACTAATTAAAGTGATACTAAACTCAGCAGTTAAATCCTTAAAATGCATTTAAGTACCTTAACTATTAACAAAAATTTAGTTTTTTTGTACATCGTTTAGCTGTGGATCCTCAAATCATCTCTGAATTGGTGCTGACACTGTCCTTCCTTCTGGAGGGGGGCTACTTTTGTTCCCCATGGTCTCTGTGTGTGTTGTAAAGTAGCCACCATGCCAAGCTCGCTCCAGTGATAGATTACAATCTCATGTTTAGTTTACTAATTTGTATTGAAGTTATAGTCTATCACACAAGTGAGCTTGGAGTTGTGGCTACTTTACAACACACACAGGGACTATGAGGAACATAGGTAGCCACCCTCCAGAAGTAAGGACAGTGTCAGCACCAAGTCAGAGATGATTTGAGGGTCTACAGCCGAGTCATTCACAAATAAGATGCATTTTTGTTAATAGTTAAGGTACTGGAATTAATTTAATTTCACTTTAATATTGGTAAGAGGCAGAGTCACTGACTTTAGGTTTCCACACGGTTCCTATGCAGCCTTCTGCAGAGAAGGCTTGTATCAGAATGTCTCGGCTAAAGATTAGTAGGTTTATAGTCTGTTGCTGATTTTCCTCCCAGCAGTTATCTAATAGCGTGAGAAGGATAATCAAGATATAGGCGTTCTGAACAACCTGGGGCACCCATAGCTGTCAGATTTGGCCATCACTGTGAATAGATAAATCAGTTAAGATGAACCTGCTCCATGCTGATAAGAACACTCAGGTAGCCTGAGCTGAAGGAGTATAGGCAGCGTTAAACTGGTTATAGTTCACATTCTGATATTTACCTGTTCACCGTTATTCTGCAAATTCTTCCTATGTCTAATATTAAATGACTAAAATCATAAACAAACAAATAAATATAGCTATATGTATAGCGAATAGTAAATAGTTTTCTATTAATTAATATTCTTAAAGAATAAAGCCAATAATAGACAGTGGACCTGATGTACTAAAGGAAATGCACAGGACCAATGAGAAACTGCTGTGAAGATAACTAGCACACTGAGCACATGGACCTTCTTGTACCCAGCAAATGCCATCAGTTAGGGGATCTGAAGAGTACACTTTTTTTTTAGTGCCTATGCTGCAGTCTCGTTTTGCACTGGGCATGGAACATTAATATGACTGTTTATGTTCCTTATACATAGATTCTGTAAAAAAAAAAAAAAAACTGCAATGTAACAAGGCGCAGATCTTTTGCTGTACAGTAGATTGGGCAAACATTTTTATATTCCTTCCTCTGTTTAATCTGCCTGATCCAGGCTTAGTTTGGAATAATAACTTCTAACTGGAGCCTATTAACATAGTACTCTGTACACTCACAAAAAGAAATGGACAGTTCTCTTCAGTGGAATATACTGCCTTATCTGAAGGAATTTAGGTGGCCTTAGGATCCTGTTCCTGAGTAATGTAAAGAGCAAACTGAGGAGCAGATCTGGTCAGTAGCTGCAGTTTTCTAGAGGCTTACCTGGACCATGTTGAGGAAGTGTGAGCTGAGTTTTCAAACAAAATCTATACCCCTAGCGTTACTTATGGACATTAGTTGTGGCTCATAACTACAGAATAAAGCCATGAGTGTGGGTAATACAAATAATTGCTGGTTTTGCTCTTCACAACAGAATGAGGTCTGGGAGTGCTTCAGACTCAAAAGGTGCCATTAAAAAGATCTGCTTTGTTATATGGATGACCCGGGAGCTGCACCAGCATATGCAATTGCTAGGAGGTCCTGTGGCATCTTCAGAATACACTGGTGGTATTATATCTCCAAGATGGCCAGCATAACCCTTGGATTTATCGTGGAGAAACCACTAAGTTAGAAAATGATTTTATGGCTGGACAAAGGGAATAACAATTAACAATATGTTCCAAAAACTAGTGATGTGTACTAACCAGAAAACCAGATTTAAAGGAGAACTATGAGGTGTGTGATTTCACTCATCTTCATAGTTAGAGCCGACCTGTGACAAAGAAGCTGTCACAGATTGACTCTATTGATCGGGATGTGAGCAGAAACATGCACTGATCCACTCACTTCCCGATCGTCTCCCTGCAGTGAGCAGTGACTGTCAGTCACCGCTCCCCGCAGGGATTTCCCCCCCCTCCCCGAGCTGAGTGGAGGAACGAATGGGGGAGGGAGCGGGCACAGCTCTAGATAGGCAGAGCCAGCTGTCACTCACGCAGCTGGGTGAATCTCGACAGTATTGTTGGGATCCGTCCCACCTGAGGCGCTCTCAGTATATCACGGGCAACAGCCCGCTATATATTGAGCTTTGTGTCATGGGAGGAGGTTAGTATATGTCCTCCCGTGACTCTAAAGAGAACTATGGGGAAAGCCACTCTCTTTTAAGCTTTCAGGCTAGTTCACATCCCTGTTTTAGTCTCTATTACTAAATAAATGCACGTATTATAAACTAGTACCAGTCTAGAAATCTACTTGCATTACGGTTTCTAACATCATATGTGCATGTAGAGTAACTAGAGAACTGTATAAGCTGGTGCTTTCTAAAATATGGGCAGAATTTGATCATGCTAATCAAAGCTTGTTGGAATAATTCTTACTTTCTTATTTCATTTTTTAATATATTCAAATCATTAGCAACTGAATGTTGCATCTTATATTTACCCGACTAATGCATCTGCTTTTCACTGATACAAAATATGCCTTAATAATGTATCCATGCAACATAAATCTACACACATACAAAACATACTGAAGCACTTCTGCCAGTAGTAATGTCTATGCTGATAAGCACCGTGGAACATATTTTATCCAGATGCAAACACTCTGTATTGGATTAACACAGGTCCACTAGATTATTCCATGACCCAGACCTTGGTCCCATCATAAATATAGTGAACATCTAAAGAAAACCGGAATAACAGCTCTCATCATTCTTTCTGTGTGTCTGGAAGAGAGTCAACATTCATAGCTTTCCAGACAGTGTTCATATGTGTACAATCTCCTGATTGATAGAAAGCCAATGACATCACTGCTCCACTGTCCCTAATCATTATATATAACTATACGTTCAACACACATATTGTCTGCTTTCTAAATATCTGCCCTCCATTATATTTGTGTCAGCAAACAGTGTGCATATTAAGCTTAACACATCTTAAAGGGTATCTATAATCAAAAACAAAAAATAAATATGTATTTCTATACTGAATTTCCATAAGTTATATCGCACGCCTAATAACCATAAAGATCTAGAAGTTTGTAAACTTTTTTTTTTTAAAGATACTTTTTATTGAGTCTTTTCAGTGTCATAGACACAATAACGAAACAACCATCATACATACAGCAACCGGGTCAACATAACCCAGGCAATTATGCAATACATACTGTACATACATTTCACTGATCATAAGGTTACAAGGTTACACAGTTACTCGGTTACATAATCCAATATATGGGAGTTACCCTCCAACACAGGGAGTATACAACGTGGGGAATTGAACATAGCCACATGCAATCAATATGGTATGAAATACTTCCAGGAGTTCAAAAGTCCAAAGTTTGTAAACTTACTTATTGAAGATGCCCATAGGATTTGCTTTCTCAATACAGTGACACAATTTCACTCAGCCCCGTGAATATGCATTTCTTTGTGTTATAACTCTTAGAGCCTGCCTTCTGAACTACTAATTAACGTCTGAACAATGTAACATTGTCATTGCTTGCAGGCAGCAATGCATTATGGACTATGTAGTCTTGAGAAATCGAGATTGCATCATATCAAGCAGAAGGGAAGGCGATGCAAAGCACGGGGGGAATCGAGAAAGTTGATGAAAGTGATGGACAAAGGGAAGGCAGCACCCACTACATAAAAAGGATTTTTTTCAGGTAAGCTTTGATTACATTATACAAAATGTATTCCTATTACAATGCTGATGTTATAACAGGATAGTATATTCTAGGATCTTAAAACTCCTGTATGTACATCATACAATTAACTTTCTTAAAATGTCTAAAGTTTGGATAAAGCCCAGAAAGCTTTATATTTTTCCCAATTTGGTTTTAAAAGAGGTTTTATACAAAGTTTGTATAAAGCAGTTAGAATTTATTTTCACTGTATAGAACTATCCTAAAATGACTGACTGAGCAAATAACTGCAGTTTAAAATGTCACTTTCCAATCTAAATAGTGTTATTATTAGATTACATTTGATATTGATACCTATATGATTTTCATTAAGCATAACATGGGTGTTTTTGCAGCCTTGACTTACTATGAGGCAGCTGTCTGTGAGAGTAAACATGTCATTGATTCTCAGGTGCTGAAGAGATCCACATCCAGCAACTATGTGTCTGAACCCATCAATGGAAATCTAAAGAAAAATAAACAAATATAGACATTTATGTTATTAAATTATAAGACACTGTCAATAGAAATTAGTTGTAGACTTAAAGGAGAACTATGGGGTCAGTGTTTTTCCCCATAGTTCTCCTAAGGGTAACGGGAGGACACAAACTAGCGTCCTCCCGTTACCCTAAGGAGAACTATGGGGAAAAAGACTGACCCCATAGTTCTCCTTTAAGGAGAACTATGGGGAAAAAGACTGACCCCATAGTTCTCCTTTAAGGAGAACTATGGGGAAAAAGACTGACCCCATAGTTCTCCTTTAAGGAGAACTATGGGGAAAAAGACTGACCCCATAGTTCTCCTTTAAGGAGAACTATGGGGAAAAAGACTGACCCCATAGTTCTCCTTTAAGGAGAACTATGGGGAAAAGGCCTAACCCCCATAGTTCTCCTTAAAGGAGAACTATGAGGTGAGTGAAAAGCACTCACCTCATAGTTCTCCTTTAAGGAGAACTATGGGGGTTAGGCCTTTTCCCCATAGTTCTCCTTAGGGTAACGGGAGGACACAAACTAGCGTCCCTCCGTCACCCTAGGCTCACTATACAGCTAGAGCTCGCGGTATACTGAGACGCCGCAGCTGAAGCGGATCCCGACAATTATGTCTGGATCCACCCAGCTGCGTGACTGACAGCTGGCTCTGCCTATCTAGAGGCAGAGCCAGCTGTACCCGCCCCGTCCCCGTCCGTTCCGCCAGTCAGCACTGTCACAGGTCGGCTAGAAGTATGAGGTGAGTGAAAAGCACTCACCTCATAGTTCTCCTTTAAAGAAGAACTCAAGGAATTGTAAAAATTAACCCTTGCAGTGGGGCTACCCCCACACTGCAAGGGTTAAGTGCTAGTTTTTCCCTAGAGACTGGACTGGAGAAGATATACTCACCTGATCCTCTGTCCTGTAGCAGTCAATGCTCACCTCTCTTCCTCTACTCCGTCTGTGGTATGTCTTTCAGCATCCTCACGTCTTGTTCACTTTCATTAGACATGAAGACGTCAGGGGTCCCTTAGACCACCACAGCTCGGGGGAGAAGAGGCTGCAGGGACCAGTCTAGCAGCCAGGTGGAATGTAGGATTGGGTGAGTATACCTTCTTTACTTTAGTCCCTAGACCAAAACGAGCAGTTAACCCTTACACAGCTGGTGTAGCCCCACTGCAAGGGTTAGTTTTTACAATTCCTGGAGTTCTTTTACAATTCCTGGTGTTCTTTAACACACATCTCTAAGGGTTACGCTTCACATGAGATATGTAATCACTTAGTAGAATCATATTTAGGGCCCATTTACTTCTTTGTGCTGAAAGGTAATGTGCACTGCATTGGGTCAGCCCACTGAAATGAATGGGCAGCCAACGTATAAATATGCCCTACAAGAACACTGTCATTATCCATGCCATCCGGTGAGTGAATCTCTTAAGGGGAACACAATGGTGTTCTTTTACAATGGGCAGTGGAAGATTCACAGATCAACCTTCAAGGATGGCAGGATAGTGTTTCTTGTGGGAGTGAAAGAATAGCAGCACTAGGTGTTTTCGGACTGTCTTTGAAATACATAGACTTTTATTTGTTACTCAAGGTTGATTGCACATGGACTTCTGAGTTATATCATTTTGACCATTGGAAATTTCTATTTAGTGTTTCCAATACTACAGACTTTTCAGTAATTTATTGTGGCACACATTTTATTACTGGTGAAGTATATGCACCGATCAGCCATAACATGACCACCTGCCTAATATTGAGTAGGTCCACCCAAAACAGCCCTGACCTGTCAAGCCATGAACCCCACTAGACCTCTGAAGATATGCTATGGCATATGGCACCAAGCTGTCAGGTCCTTTAAGTCCTGTAAGTTGCAAGGTGGGGCCTCCATGGATTGGACTTGTTTTTCCAGCAAATCCCACAGATGCTCGATTGGATTGAGATCTGGAGAATTTGGAGGCCAAGTCAACACCTCAAACTCGTTGTTGTATTCCCCAAACATTCTTGAACCATTTTTTTGCAGTGTGGCAGGGCGCATTATCCTTCTGAAAGAGGCCACTGCCATCAGGGAATACCATTTTCATGAAGGTGTTTACTTGGCCAGCAAGAATGTTTAGGTAGGTGGTACGTGTCAAAGTAACATCCACATAAATGGCAGGACCCAAGGTTTCCTTGCAGAACAGTGGCTCTGCTGGCTTGCCTTCTTCCAATAGTGCATTCTGGTGCCATCTCTTCCCCAGCTAAGGGACACATGCACCCGGTCATCCACATGATGTAAAAGAAAACGTGATTCTTCAGACCAGGCCACCTTTTTCCATTGCTCTGTGGTCCAGTTCTGATGCTCACGTGCCCATTGTAGGTGCTTTTGGCGGTGGACATGTGTTAGCATGAGTACCCTGACTATGCAGCCCCATACGCAACAAACTGCAATGAACTGTGTGTTCAGACACCTTTCTATCGCAACCAGCATGAACTTTTTTAGCAATTTGAGCAACAGTAGCACAGTGGCGATAATTGTAATTGGTTGATGGGTGTATAGACACTATATTAGAAGGGGGCATATATCCTAGATTCTTAAAGTAAGCACTATATTTTCATATATTACAATAGGGTAAAGCACTGCACATTTTAAAGAATAAAAGGCCATAGACTTGGTGATTGGGCATGTGGGTACAATCCAAAAGGAACAGATTAACCATTTTTCTCTCCTCACAGCTCCCTTTATGAAAACTGGAAAATGTAAAAACAAGCTGGATGGGTATTAATAATAACGAATAATGTTCGTTGGCAATCTCTCTACATTCTTTTCACCAATTCAGCACTTGGGAACAGAGCAATATGAGTCAGGACATCAGTCCACAGCTGTGGCAGTCAAGCAGCTTTTCTGTCACATCATATCCATCATGACTTCTGTCACATTACGTAACTTCCGAGTATAAAACATGGTCATATTTTATGTTACCCCTTGTAATGAGAAATGTTCTCCAGCAATATGTGGGAAGAAGTTTCAATAAGGTGGTCAACAGAGTGGAAATTCCTCTATCGTTGGGTCTGGAAAAATCATAGTATTCCTACACTGAACTAACACACACATAGTTGGCCATATGCAGGATCCATTTGTTAGAAAGTTATTCATAACAGATCCTTGTTCTTATGCTGTCTAATAAACCACAAAAAGCATCATAGTAAAATTAACTGGAAACAAGTACAGTTAGATTTGAAGTATTGCTCAATTTCCCTAACATATTTAAACCGGATTTATTTCAATAAAAATGACACCATGCTAAATGTGTAAGTGATGTTAGATTTGTCACTTTTCCGACTTTGTGTGATGTTTTGGTGGTTTATTGCTTAGCTGAGTTACTTTTACATTTTAGATTGAAATTAAATATTCAGATTTAGTGTCCATTCACATCAGCCACGGTGCTACATTGCACAGCAGCTGATCCTGGCCCATGGCACTGTTAGACCCGCCTCCATCCTTCCACCTATCACGCAACATAACAGCTGATCACTGCTCCCAGCTGTCAAGTTTAAATGTCCCAGTTTTTCCCGAGACTCTCCGAGACGCACCACTGACGTAGGCTTGACAAAGAGGCTGCGCCTCGAAACGCGTAGCCAGCGGATGAGATCTCACCCAGTTTTTGTTCCCACCTTGCCTTATCCTACTGTGACTTATCGCCACAAGAGCTGCAACACACCACCACCTTCTTTGTTTAACAGCCGTTGGGCATCATCACTCTGGCTTATTTTCCCCGCCGCCACGGCTCAGCCTGGCCAGCTGAGTCCGTGTATTCGGCTGATTTTGTTTTCGTCAAGACCCAGTTTTTTACAACTCCAGCTCCTAACTACTCCACCTCCCCAAGTCCATTCATCCAACACATGGATGCAAGATGAGTTCCCTTTGATGGTTCCAGACCTTCACCGCTGACATCTAACGGTGAGTTTACATCACCCTCACAGTAGTAGCGCTCCTTTCATCTGTATATTTTTTTAATTTAGCCACAGGGCTCCTCTCCCTGTCTCTAGGAGCTTTTGCACACTGTTGATCAAATTCTGTGGCCAGTTTTACATTGTTCTTACCCAGCATTAGTGCGCTTACTGTTTCTGTGTATTTTTTCTTTGATCCTGGCCCATGGCACTGTTGAATTTTTTTTTTAGAACTTTATTGAGAACTTTACTTCATTACATTCTATGGGCACAGCATGGTGTCAGGCGGTTGTACCACATCACACACTGCTGCGCTGAAAACAATTCCCTTATACAGTACTTTTTTACATGCACACCGTCACAATGCGGTGTTGTGAACTGTGCCCAATGCGTGACAAGGCAACTAAAAAAAAACACCGACCATCGCAGCCCCAATGCATCTGGCGGGAAAGGGCCCTGATAAGTAAATATTGACTGAATGATATTTAGTTTGCTACAGTACTGTTTATCATAAACAATTGTCATGGTTGCTTTCACCTTTTTTTTTGTATCCTTTTGTTAAATCTTTGTACTACTCATCTCCTGCACCCTTTTTGCATCCACTTCCTGTCTACACACATGCACTCTAGAGGTGACTACATGATATTTCGCAGAGTGGGTTTCCTGATGGTGACAACAGTGGACCATACCAATGTAATTAAACTGTGTTAAAACTGCAACTGGTAGTCTGTATCAGAAGCCCATGGATGACAACTCAGAAGCACAAGTAAGAGACAGGAACGGAATGTTTTCCTCCTATAACAAGAAGTTCCTGAAGAAGAACTTTTATGGCAAATATCATTTGAATGGAAATTGCAGATTTCAACCTATTAAAATGACTTTTTAAATTACAATAATATCTTAAAGCTTAGTTGAGATTTTAGTTACTGGGTTAACATCTATTTCAATTAGGAATAAACATTAGTGAAAAGTGAAAGACACCAAAGAGAAAGAAAATGGCAAAGGTAAAGGGAAAAAGAAAAGACCAGATGGCAACACAAAACAGCCTCATCTACTTTTTACCATG